GCCCAGACCACAGATCTCGGTCCCATCCCCGGTGTCCCGCCCCGTCTTTTTCCTTCCCGGGTATCAAACGGTAATTCACCAAGCGAATCAAACACCAAAAATGCTGTTGGATGGCCGCATGTGGCCTTTCATACCTTCGTTGGCATCCGCACTCCCAGAATGCAGGTTACCCCAGGTCAGTGTAACAGTGCGAGCATGACACCCCACGCTGTTTTCGACATCCCGCCGCCGAGCCGTGATTAAATCACCGGAGCCCATTCATCATCATGGCCTCGTGGCCTTCTATCCCCTCAACCCCCCTCCCGCCTTTCGCCCGTCGTTTTTGAGTCGTTGCCTCCCATGACTCAGAAGTTCCTTCATCGATAGCCGGGGTTGCCCAGCATATCATCCCACTCGCCTCGGAAGCTCGGATCCGTCAGCATCTCGTCCATCATAGCCCCGCCCTGCTGCTGCTGCTGTTGTTGTTGGTGCTGCTGCTGCTGTTGCTGATGGTGTTGCTGGGTCATCTGTTGGTGATGATGCTGCGGCTGCTGGTGCGCATGGCTTCCATGGTCGGGCTGCATTGCGAGCATGTTGGGAGTGTTGTACATTTGCGCGGTTGCGTCCAGTCCATGCTGCGGCTGTCGCTGTGGCCCTTGCGACATGAGATAAGAAGGAATGGGTTCCAAAAGCTGCCCTTCGATGCCCTCGTACATGTTGGGGATGTAGAATTGCATGGCGTCGTGGGACTGGCCTGCGCTCGATTGCGGCGTCTGGCTGCCCGGATGCTGGCTCGCCGGATCTATCGGTGGTTGGTTGGGGTAGGCGAAGGGGTCTTCCGAGGGAAACATCATGGCGTCCATTTTGTACAGCGAGGTGGCTGGTCCTCCTGTAGCCTGCCCTTGCTGGAAACCCTGGGTATGCCTCTGCATCGTCCCTTGTGTGCTACTAGAATCTGAGCCCGTCCCCGACATGGGCATATTCATGGGCAAGATGTCCTGGAGGTTGGTAAAGTTCTGCCCCGCCAGGCTGCCATGTTGGAACCCGATGGTGTCGAAGGACGCTGTTCTCTGAGGCGGGGCGCGTGCCTCTCGCCGGAGCAATCCGATCGTCGGCCGAGTCATCTCTTCCGATCTCCGCTGTGGTATACCATCCTGTAAGTCAGGCCGGCTGGGCAGCGCCGCGCTGCCTGTTCTCGATCCTTGGGACGAGCTCGGAGCCGGAGCCGACCGTTTCTTCGTCGGTGTTGGTCGTCCCGTGGGTTTCTTGACTTGGTCTGGCAATTGGTCAAATAGGGGCTGGTTGCTGTTAACATCATCTCCTCTGTGATCGGTAATGCTCAATGTAGGAGGACATACGTTAAGCGCGACAGTTATACGATCGGCCGCTAAGCTCCGTTTCGCAAGTGTTGCGATGACGTCCCTTCCCGTCTTAGCATCGGCTAGTATCTCGGCAGATCCTGGTTTATCGGGGTTTTCCAGGACATAGAACACCAGGGAAAGTATGGCAAAGAACTCGGTATATAAAATAAACCAATACGGCCCGATAAGTGCCGCTTGCTTCTGGATCTCGCTCCCAATGTGGATAATGTTCCGCGAGACGGTAATGCCCGCCGCGGCGCAGTGATAGTAGCGGTTCTCGACTTTCTTGCCGGAAGTTAGACGTGGTGAAATGTAGTGAAGGAATGGTCTGTACAACATCATCTGGACGTGGGCATAACCAAAGCGGAGGAGGGTTCGAACGCTGTCAAGGGGTCAAATTAGCTTACGCCGCGCAACTTCAGTTCCATCAGATCGCCGAGAGCCACATACCGGATAACTTCGATTGGGCCCTCATGGCTTGGCCGCCAATATTCGTTGAGCTGCGATTGCCATTCCTGGAGCTCCGCCTCGATGGCTTGGACTCGAGAGTAGTTGATCATGAACGTCCGGTCTGCTCGCTGCCCTTTGGCACTGTCCGTCATCCCCCGGAGCGGGTATATGTTTCTGACCACCTTCGCAAGTATCCTCATAAGCTTGTTGTGCGCATTGAACGCCTGGAAATAGGACGGGGTGCCCGGAGGCGGCATCCTGATTGCGTCCTTGGTAATGTACTCGTCGTCCACCTCGGTCGGGAGGGGCTGGTCGACATCTTCGTCGTGGAGCAGAAGAGGAAAGCCCAGAATAGCGGAAACGTAAAAGTCCATCTGGCGGATGACGTGAAATACCCGCCGCCGGGACTCGTCTTCGATCGGAGTGATTTTGTCGTGTGATAAGTGGCGGTGTAGCCCCATGCGCAAGCAAGATCGGAGAGCAATCCCAAGGAACGCGTAGCAGTCGCTAATGTTGGAAGTAGCTTGGAGGAAGAGGATCATGTACACGAGCGCCTGGAGAGAAGCCATATCGCGACATTCCGCAACGTCTTGCAGTATTAGCCGTGCAGTTGTGTAATACTTGACACTAAGAAGAGGCTGTTAGGATCAAGAACTAACGAGAACGGGAACGGAGACGGGAACGGGACGCAAAATCTCACCCTTCTTCTACCGCCGACTTGTACGTCACGGTGTCCTCCGAGTTTTGGTCCTGGGAGACATTGTACACGCAACCGAGTGCCAGCACAGAGTAAAGCAAGCCAAGGAACCTGTGCTCATCGCTGCCCCAAGATTCTTGTGGTGTCGTGTAAAGCCTGTCGAGCGTTTCGTAGAATGTCGGCTGGTGGACGATTCGGAGGAGGCAAGTGGCACAATCCAACGAGTAATAGCAGAGCGTGCGTACCCGTTCCAGGGGAGGCAAATTGTAGATGGCGGGAGAGTTCGAAGGCTCCCAAGGCGAGCTAGCGCCAGATTTCGGGGAGTCGAGGCTGAACAGGCCAGGCGGTACAGATGGCCGGGGTAGGAAGGGGATGTGGTATTCGTTTCCGAGGAGGGACTGGAAGTGGTCTTTCATCCGCTGGAGGAAGACGGCGCCCGACGAAATCCCATGGAAATCCCATTCGCCGGTTTCCTTGAGTTCCAGCTGACCAATCGACTCGATCATGGATACAATCTGGGGGTCTTGGCTCTCCTCTTGCGAATCCCTGGGTGCTTCCATCTTGAGTTCCATGGCGCGAGCCCTCGCCTTCTCCCTGTTTCGGAACTCTTGCTGGACCGCAGGATCCAGATTGGGGTCGGCGAGATCAACATCGGGCATGAACTTGCGCAACAAACCCTCTGCCCGTTGGAGCCGAGCCTCCAGAGCTTCGATGTACTGAGGAGCAGGGTTCCTGCGGCGGTTAGACGGCTTATCGTATGTGCACTCTACAAATCGGTCAGCAAAACCGAGCTTCGGGGGGCTCGGGAAGGGGGAACTCGGCGGGGGGGGAGGTTATCGGGTTGTGTTACCCATAGCTGTATACCGAGCAGTGCGTACACGGCTGCTTGCCATCGCATTTGATCTTTTTACGACGGCACTCATCGCATGCCCTCGTCACCCTGCGGCGTTTCTGAAGAGGCATGTTCGGGGCCTCTCCAAGATCGTCCTGCACCCCGGAAGCATCTTCGGATTCTGGCTTGATGGAACCTTGTCTGGGTGATCTGGCGCTCTCGGACCGGGACACGAACTCATCCAAAGACAAGTCCGCCGACTCCTCATCGGACATATCGGGGCTGTTCCCGGAGCCCATGGTCCTCGGTTGGATGGCGGGCTTCCTCGTACTGCTCCCAGCCCGGCCAGCACGCGGAGGGCGCGAAGCTGGCCGAACAGCGCGGGGGGCAGATGTGTTGTCAACAGTCGGGCCCGTCATGGTCGTCTCCGATGGTGAGCTTGCGCGGGGAAGGCACGGAGATATTTCTGGTCTACCTCCGTGTGGATGTCTTGCCCCGTCGCGATAGAGTTCAGGTGTGTGTTCGCATGTCTAACCTACGGGTGTGGTGTGTTGTTGAAGTTTACACCACGCCGGAACCGGGAGTCGGGATTCGGGAGTCGGTCGTCGTTGGGGAACAAGTAGCAGGGCGCAAGCTGGGCGTTCAAACGCGGGCGGCGAGACCCGACGAGGGTTTGAAGCCCGCGTGTGTGATTCCACGCCAAACCCCCAGTTCCCGAGACGGGGGGAAGGGGGGGGGGGGGGGTGGCTCTACAAACGAGGACTTTTCCCGTTTGAGCCGACACCCTGTCCTTTGGGATACCCTGAGAGCTTTTATCTATCCTAGGTTGGCTCCGCTTAACGTGCTAGGATTAAGGAGCAGCTTAGTGGATGAACAGAGGGATGGGGGAAAGCGTTGCAGAAGCAGCGGAAGTGCAGCGCGTTAACTATGGAGTTGTCAGGATTCGGTTCAGTGTGAACCGCTGTCCCTAGGGGGGTCTTCCCGAGAGCGAGACAGGGATGGGGGGAGGCGGGAGCCGGTGCCGACTCGGGGCTAGTGTACCACGGACACCAGACGAGACGGGGCGTTGATGATGCCTCGGAAATAGCATATCATAGAGAGCCGTGGACCATGGAGAGAATATAGGATGATCTGTGCGCGCCCTGCCGTGACCTGAAGACAAAGAAGCGAGAGAAGAAGAGATAGTGAGCTAAGTCGAGCTGTCAGTTCGGACTCGGCAGTGACCGTTCTGTGGTTGGATGGCAGGCGCGGTTGGGAAGTTGTGGAGCACCTGTACGGCTCCTATAGTGTGTACACACAGTACACGCCGACCAAGTTAGCTCTGTGCTGGGATTCGACGGCAAATCCCATGGATTAACTACGAATAAATTACAACCTCCTCGGAGGAGCCGCAGACTCTCGCGTCTGTGGGATCCAGTTCTCCAATTCTGCCCGTCGGCTGCGTGACGCATGTTGTGCGCGACCACGAGGGCAGGTGGATGGGAATCGCCTCCACGTCCCGGGGTCCCCTAGCCGCATGCCGTTCGGCTGCTTCCATGTTCCCAGGACTCTGGGGTAGTTATCTCCGACTCCGACGCAATGGGCACGGGGGGCACGGTTGACTCGCTGTGATTCACCGAATTGGTTGTTCCTTAGCACACACGAGACGATTGGAACAATGTAGCGAGACGGGATGGCAGGAGGTTGGGTTCGGATCGAGCAACGCTCTCACATCTTCGGGTATATTTTCGAGCTCCGCCTACCGTGGATCTCTCAAATTCATGGTGGATGCCGGTGCGTTGAGGTCTTTGGGTCTTTGGTGGCGGCAGTCGGTGCAAATTGTTCTTGGCCTCCCTTCTGGTTCCGAGAACCGCCGCGTGTCTCCGTCTCCGTCAATGCTGACTCTGACGCGTGTTGGCGTGTTGGCGTGCTCGGCGTGTGTTGACAATTGAGCCCCTATCGTGACAGCAAGACTTGAGCCCGCTCTTTTTCCGGCTTTATTCCCGAGTTGGGATTCGAACGCGAGAGGAACAGGAATGGCTCGCTCGCTCAATGGAACATGCAGAAACTGGAAGGCGTGGAAGGGCGGCGGTGGATAGAGTGGGGAAACCACTGTGCAAACCCCCATCATGATCCACAGCAACGTTAACTGACGGTAGGCACGGGAGGGTCTGAGCTTCCCAGATCAACATCTCAACCAAACTGCCAGCCTGGCAGGTTGCCGGTGTTCGAGCGGTGACAGCTGCCACTCGAATGCCTAGGTAGGTAAGTGGAAAGTTCAACCTGGCATTAGTATACTGTGTACCAAAGTGGTTTTATTGGTCATGGTCCTCCTGTCGTATCCCCTGGAAGGTGCAACGCTTCCTTCTCTCATTGTTGGGAAGGAGCCAAATACTGGGCAGGTGCGTTGCGGCGGTCGCACCGAAGGGCACCCTGCTGCAGGGTGCAAAGCCGTCAATATTGGGGGAGCATCGGGATGCGTATTTTGAGCAACAACCCGCAGCGGCCCCAGCAATCTCTTGACAAAGCATATCCCAAAAGTGCAGAAGATGGGAAACGGGCATTGGCGATCTCGAAAGGGTGGGGAAAGCATTGGCGCGCTAGAGACTTGGCTTACGTCGGTGTGCAGGCTTGGCATGCACGAACCCCAGGCGAGGTGAGCAGGGGTCCCCAATCAGCCCATCGTGTCCATGTTGACGAATCCGCACTGTCCTCAAGCGACGGGGGTCCTGGGAGCAGACTTTTTCCAAACAACGGGCCTCCCGAGCTTGGCCCGGCGAACAATCGCACCCTTGAAGCTCGGCAGCCGGGACTCGCGTGTTGGGGGGCTTGGGGGGGGACGACGTTTCCCATGTCATTATGGGCGGCGTTTCTGGGCATCGAGGATCTTGGAGATCCGATTCGCGGTCGGCTACTTTTACCATGGACCCTTTTTTTCGTGGCTGCCACTTTGGGTTTCCCGGAGCAAGGGCCGGGTAGCCTGAATCTCGGCGGGTTGCGTCTCCCACTCCAGTGTGCACGTAGGGCAGCGAAAGAACCTCCGAGAACGATCCGACTGCGTGGATGATCAGTTAAAGATAGAATAAACTATTGAAAGCCGTCTGTACAAATCGCCAGGGGTGGCTGTCAGCCTTACAAGCACATCTTCTCGTACTGTGCACCAAAACACTGCACACCTCGGCGACCGAGGCACTTCCCGAGTAAAATCTACCTGCTAGTTGCCAAGAAGAAGAATGCCTCACCTCTCTGTTTCTCCAGACCAGACGACGGCATTTGATGGGGTCCACCTGGCTCAGTCATGTGCAACAACTGCTTCGTTTGCTTCGTTTCTGATACGAATTGACGAATCGACGAGTTTCGAAATCATCCCAAGTATTTGCCCATTTTTTCGCATGCATGCACCCCTCCCGAGTCAACAGGCAGAATCTTACCCTTCGCACAACTCCGCTGCGGTTGGAGATTGGGCCCCAGAGCATAGTCAAACTCAATCAATCAAGACACACATAGTTAAAGCCATCGCGAATGCCCTCCCTTGCAGTGATCTAATCAATCGCGTATCTATTTCAGCTATCCAGCCTACAGTTCCAACACATCTCCGCTTTCTCGTCATTCTTCATCTACCTGGACATCGCTCGGGACCTCCGGACCGCAAGGGTTTTCCAGGCTATTTTACACAAATACCTATCTTGTGTCTACCTAGGTACTGACTGCTCTAGACGCAACCCAACTCAACACTTTGAATCTCTCCTCAAAATGGAGCTCCAAATACGGCGATAGGCCTATCACTTTCTATCCTACCTACTTCGCCACGACTTGTCTCGGAATGCAAATGCAAGATAAATGAGCGCCGTCGGCTAGCACGAGACATCAACGGGGCCGACTCGGGAGGCCTCGATTGATGATATTGCTTGAGGTCAGGCTCATAGTGTCGTCAGTTGCAGGTCTCAAAGAAAAAAAAAACCAATGCGCCAGGCATGTTTATTCTCTCTCTAACTACCTGGTACCTCGCTAACCAAAGTACCACCATCCGCCAGAGCCGCTCCCGCCACCATAGTCGTATGAATTATCATAGTTGCCTCCGTGTCCACTAGAAGCAGCGGGAGTCGGGGCCGCCGTGTCCGGGGAGCAGCCTTGAGGGCGCTGACCACGGCGTAGGGCCCCAATCACCAGGCCCTTCGAGGTCGCGATGAATCACAGTTCATTCCACCACACCGTGTTGACGTCCTAGTGGCAGCGTCCCGGCCACGCTTGATACAGCGACTTCCAGCTGTTGGTGGTCGTTCATATAACCCCCCCTTAGACGCGTGCTGTCATCACCGAATCCCGGCACCCGAATACCGGCCTTTGAATACCGGCCCCCACCCTTCCCCAGCCCCTGTACAAGACGTACATGTACATGTATGTACGTCGACTGAGTAGTCCCCGGAGGCCACATTGTGGCTGTTGTAAGTTTTAGGTGTGAGTTGGAAAAAAAGAGGCAATAGGGCGGAAAGTGGTATTTATTGTCAACTTAATGTAGTTACCTAGGTGGGTAATTTGTAACTGGCTGGGCATACCACTTTTAGTTTCTTCACTTTACCTATTCCACCACCCCAAATACCCACTATCACCACTCCCTCCTGAGTGCATAAGGAGTGGCAAACCCTCACCTAGGTAGGTAGCTACCTACCTAGGTAAGGCACCTAACCCTCTGGCAAAGTTGTGGCTCGTGGGGGTTCGGGCACCACTGGCCACACAAGCAGGGTGCCGACACGTTTGTCACCGCTACTTATGATTTCACCAAGCTGCGTAAAGCATCATGCATGGCCTAGGCAGCAAATACCATGCAGTACAAGGCAGAAAACTCGTGCCACGCCAAGGGACGTACTAATAAATGACACATATCTTGGTTCTCACTGCACTCTTTCGACATTTTTCTTTACTCCAGCGCAACCCGATCCATCATGTACTCTGATACGGACATGGCAAACGCAGACGAGGCCATGGGAAACAGCCTGAACCCAACGCCCCTGCTCTTCAACGACGTGTATTTCAGTCGTTGTGAGAAGCCAGTATCCCCGTCCCCGTCCATATGGGCGCCGTTTCCCCGCCTCCCAGCCGAACTGCGTCTGCGCATCTGGCTGCTTCCTCTTCAACAGCACCGCATGATTGAGGTTGATCTCCACCCTACCGCCGGCGACAACGGTACTTCCCGGTATGCCGACCGTAACCATCTCGGTCGGATTGTCAGCGGCCGGAGCCGGAGCTACACCTCCCGCCTCCGGGGCCGCGGATCCTATGTGGCGTCCCTCACCCCACTCCTCCGCGTCAGTCGTGAGGCGAGGGCAGCCGCGCTCAGCTTCTACCACATACACCTTCCCTTAGGCACAGGGCAAGTCCTATACCTCAGCTCCGAGTATGATGTCGTCTACGTCCGGCCCAGGCGGCCTAAACCTATTCATAGCCCGCCGGCGACCGACCCCGATCCCGAATTCGGTACCATCTTCGTCGACTTTTTACACGACGCCCGAGCCCACGATTACAAGAACCACGGGTATAGCTTCCTCCTTACTTTATTCCAACCGCACAAGTCTGGTTTTTGAGCCATCTAACATGTAATATCGGCCTATAGAGTTCGCCACCTCGCCATAGACAAAGAGATTCGCCACTACCTGCTCGGCCGGTTTGAGGAGGGCGTGAATTTGACCCCAGAAATGCTTCACCCGGCCGCAGCGACGTCATTTGCCGATATCCTCCGCCACAAGCTCCGTTCCCTGCTCTGCGTTGTCGATTTCCGGGGCTCTACGAGGTGCATGAGCGCCCCCCCCTTAGGGGGCGGGTGGCGCTGCCACTTCGCCCAAACGTTCCCCCTCCGTCGACGAGGCCGTATAACAGGGGCCTTCCACTGGCTTCAAACCGACCCGCGACCTGGCGTCGAGCTTGACCTCCGCCAGCTCCCTATCAAGGATGATCCCCATCTAATGTTGCGAAACTGGAGGCGCCTAGAGCAGCTTTTCGGAGTGACGAGAGATCAGCAAGCCACCCGAGAAAACGGGGGCGACCACGGCTTTCGCCTTTATGTCTGCCCCACCAAGGACTGGGCAATGGAAACCGAGGCGGAGGCAGTGTGGTCGCGGGACGAGCTGGTGCAGCATCTCCAAAACGAGGCTGAGGATTGGGACACGAAGCGCTGGTATCTCACCCGGGTCTTTGGGGGCACCCACCCATCTCCAAAGTATAGCTCTGAGTCTCGAGAGGAGGAGGAAATATTTGAGGCGATGGAGAAGTTGCCCTGCACGGCCATCGGCATGTGGCTTTTCCCTGTCGAGGCTTTCCCCCCGCCCACCATTGCCCAGCTGCTCTCATTCGACCTTTCGGCCGCCCGCCCCAGTCTGCTTCTATTTCAGGTTTAACAGCAGGTGGAATCTCGCCGAGGGTTGTAGAGGCCTACTCGGGGTTTCGCTATTTAGGCGTAGCTGTATTAACGCCTAGCCGTCCACGCGTTGGTTTGATTGACTGCGCACAAGGTATAGGAGGAATGACTGCATTGCTTCGAATAAAAAGAGAAAAGGGGGGAGCCAAATGACAGGAGGCGCGAGGATAGCTTTTGACATGCGGTGGTGCGTAGAGAATCATCTGAATCGAATCGATTGAATTCAGGTAAAGAATAGAAACTACCTATTCTCCTGGGCTTATAACGAGGTATAGTCGTGACTGCTGGCCGGTGAGCTTTGAGAGTCCTTAATAACGAGTGATTACCTCCCCATATGGTCCATATAAACTACCTGGGTACCTAGGTAGTAAGACCCGGAGGGTTAGTATTGAGGGCCAGCAGCGAGGCTCGCCGCTCAAGGGTCGGGCGTAGTTAGTTCGCGTCTCCGAACCGGTAACAGGAGCCTGGCGCCGAAAGTGCACCGCTATCGCAAACACGCGGGGTATATAAAAGCTGGGGTACTTAAGGGGTGTGAACGAAGTAGAACCGGTGACACCTTCGGGCCTTCGTTGCCGGCGAGGTTCGCAGTTGTTACCTACGGAGGCGGCCCCACTCCGGGAGTGCGAACGGGTTATCGGCTCGCAAAAAAAGCCGGGCTCGGTGCAGGATGTTGACTAGGTACTCGGCAGTGGGAACGCAATAAAAATCATCTGGAAGTCGGAAGAAAACGAAAACTTGAGTTTTTTTCATGAGGATCTTTAACGCCACAGAGGTACCTCGGTACTGAGGGGGGACCATCGAATGACAGGGCTGAATTTTGAGAGAAGAGCGAGCAACGGGGGCCCCACATTGCTAGGTACCTCCCTACCCCGCCATGACGCCTGGCTGCCTGGCTGGGCTGGCCTTCACCCTTTCTGCCGGACGCTTCAGCCTCATCACAAGAGCTTCCTAGCTTGCAGCCTTGTCAACCTTCCATCAACTACCCTCATCGCTCTGGTATTGAGAATAGCAAAGATGGCGGACTCATTGTTGGCATTCTTCACACTCATGGATAACCAAAATGGCACCATTGTTAGAGGTATTTCGAGCTCCCACCTCCGCCCAGCTGCTCCCATCCCCAAGAACGGACACCAAGTCAACCCCGCGGTCGACTAGACCACCAAGGCCAGCAGCTAACTCGGAGACTTGGACCACCAGAACCCCCGAATTTTGACCTCGACCTTTACATACAAAACTACAAAGGTCAGCACCCCCGGTGTCTTGAACGATCGAGTTTCCGGCCGACTTTATTCTGACCCATCCCTAGGTCGTGCGCGCTTCGATCGTCTCTTCCTCATCGGCCGCAGCTCCGTGCCGTTATGTGTTGATGCCTTGAAACTGGCCGTCGCTGAAGCCAAGAGAGGTAGAGATACCCACAGATACAGGGAGGCCGTTGAGTGCCTGCGGGTTGCGGCGCCATCGGAACCGGAGGCGACGTTCGATCAAGATTGGTTGCAAGCACGGGAAGAGGAAAACAAGGTCGAGACCAACCGTTTGCTTAAGGAACTGAAAGGTTACAAGAATAATCTCATTAAGGAGAGCATTAGGGTGGGTTTTGGACTTGTCAGCCGTGTGGGACTTGCCTTGCTAACGGCGCTTCCCCGGTACTAGATGGGCAACGAAGATCTCGCCAAGCACCTCGAGAGCATCGGCGACCTCAACGCGGCGAGCGAGACGTTTTCGAAGATGAGACCAGATGTCAGCACCGCGAAGCAACTCATTGACGTTAGCAAGCATCTGGTTCGGGTGTGTATTCAGCGGCGTGAGTGGGATATGGTGAGCGCCCACCTGAGCAAGATTGGGGGTGCTCAATCTGCGGATGAGGAGAAGGCCGTACAACCGTACCTCAAGATCGCCTATGGGATTGCGTTCTTGGGGCGCGGGAGGTTCAAGGATGCCGCGCTCAGCTTTCTCTCGGCCGACTCCAGCATCCCCAGCTCGACATACGGCGAGCTTGCCAGCCAAAGCGATGTCGCAATTTATGGCGGCCTCCTTGCTCTAGCGTCTATGGACCGTGCTGAGCTGCAGAGCACCGTGCTTGATAACGCACAGTTCCGGACGTTCCTGGAACAGGCGCCACACATCAGGCGTGCTGTCGCACAGTTCGTGAGTGGCAGATATTCTGCATGCATCGCCATTCTTGAATCCTACCGCCCAGATTACCTACTCGACATTTACCTCCAGAAGCACATCGCCGCCATCTACTCCCAAATTCGGAGCAAGTGCATTATTCAGTACCTGACTCCGTTTTCCTGCGTCAGCCTGGACAGCATGAATAAGGCGTTCGGTGGTCCGGATCAAAACGTCGAAGACGAACTGGCCGACATGATTCAGTCGGGCGCGCTACAGGCTCGGATCAACGCAATTGACAAGGTATATCCCCGTCTTCCTTTCGGATATCGCCGTTGCTCCGGCTAACCCCACCCCAGCTTGTGACGACCAAGGCAGCCAACCCAAGAACGCAAATGCAAAACTCGGCGCTCCGGATGGCCGAGGACTACGAGAAGCAAGGCCTTGACCGCCTCAGGCGGATGGGGCTCGCCGCGGCGGATCTCGAGCTCAAAACGGGAAAAAAGCCGGGCCTCTTCGCCAGCCAGACCGACCTGATGCTTGAGGAGGCACTGGGCTGAGTTGGCTAATGGCCAAAAAAAAAGGGGAGAACGGTATTTGATTAGTCTGCTCATTATTGCATTGCACGGAGGGCGAGGGCGTTTCGGAACTAGGGCGGGGATACGGTGATGGCTGGTAATGTTGCTGGTTACAGTACGGCTATCCTATGGTCATGTCCGATAACGTCATGGCTGATAAACTTGAACGATCATGACAGCCACGGGTAATGAGATCTTTCACGTTGGAAGCCGCGAAGGAGTGCAAGTTCGATTCGCTGGGTATCACTAACTGCGTTTGTCCCTCAACATCCAACCTCACCCCATCAACTGCCGAACATCCTCGGGCGGCCAGCGGACCTGGGCAAAGGTCAAGCACCGCTTGATGCTCTGTAGATACTTGCGCGTGACCTCGCTGCCCATAATGTGGCCCCTCTCGCCGCCATGCAGCTTCTCACGGGCGCTACGTTCGTGGATACCCACCATGGTGACACCAATAGGCCACGCCGCCTTGCCAATGCTAAGGCGCAGATACCCATCGTTGGCATCGACGTACCGCCGCTCTTGCGCCGCCTTGACGATTTCGATCACCGCTTCGAGGATGCTCTCATCCAGGTCGCCCTGCTCGAATTTGCGAAAGAGGGGCCGCATCGTTTCCTTGCTCGATACCATGGCGCTGTGCGCCGCTTGCCCCGCGAACGTATCCGCGTTGTCCTCCCGCGCCAACGCCAACTCCCACTCGCGCAGAATCATATTGAAGTAGGACGCCAGCTGCCGGAACAAGAGCCTGCGGGCTTTCTTGTCCGACGCAGGCGGCACCGTGTCAGGAACCTTCATATCCTTCTCCTCCACCGGCAGCAGCGTCGTGGCAATCGGTCCCGAAGCAGCCGCCAACGCGCCCCCCCTCACAACCTTCCTATACCGCCTCAGCCTCGCCGCATGGCCCTCCCCAAACAACACCGCCGGCTCCCCCAGCCCCCTCAACCTCTTCACCAGCTCCTCCTCCGGCACATCCCCCGCCTCCTCATCCTCATCCCCATCCTCGCTCACCTCCCCTTCCCCAGTAGCAGCATCCGCCGCCCCCGCCGACGGCGGTGGCAATTCCGGCAGGCCCAACCTCTTCCTCCTCTTGCGCTCCTCCTCCGCCTCGCGCGCCCCGCGCCGCGCCCGCGATTCCTCCGCCAGCCGCCGCCGTTTCTCGTCCCGCGCGCGCGCCTCCTGCGCGGCCTCCTCTTCGCGCTGCCGTTTGGCGGCCGCTTTGCCGGCTCGTGCCTCCTCGAGCGCGGCCTGCTCGGCGAGGTACGCGGCGCGGCGGGCGGCTTCGGCTTCGCGGCGGGAGATGTATTTCGGGTGGGCGGGGGTTGTGGTGGTAGTGGTATCCGTTGTTGTTGTTGAGGAGGAGGAGGTGGGTTTGGGGTCCTTCTTGTTGTTGCTGCTGCTGCTGCTGCTGTCGCCTTTGGATTTGGAGATTTCTTGGGACATTAGCGCGGCGAAGTCCATTTTTGCGGTGGTTTTTGTTGTCCTTCTCGTTGTGGTGTCGTGTGGGCTGGTTGGTGGAATCGATGATGGGAGAGGTTTCGAATTAAGTTAACCGGCTAGGTGGTTTGGTTATTGTAAGCGACGGAAGGTGAGGTTGAGGTGGTTGTTGGAGGAATCCGATGGCCGAGGTTCTGGAAGCTGCAGGAGGCGGATCATGGCCCGCTAAAAATCAACAGGCGTTGCTGGGCGCGCCGGAACGGCCCCACAGCGGTGCGGGATGCGCTGTGGTGTCGCGGCAGGCAAGCGCAGCTGCTCATGCATGTTCCTGAGCAGTGAGTTTATGGCATGGAAGGGAGCTCATCTCCCATCTTGCAACCTCGAAAACTGTACTGTCAAAAACTTACTCAAACCTTTATTTTTATAATAAAGCTGCTTCTAAATCAATGCTACGTCGATTGTCAAAGCCCCCCCAAAACCGGTCCATATCACCACTACCATGAGCACACCCGCCCTTGACAGGGACGCATCGTCGCCCTTCCTGTTGAGACTCTTCTATCGCACAGGCGCATACCATAGGTATCCCCACCCCGACTTCACGACCGATATTTAAAAACTAGTCGCTTACTCTGCCAGACCAGATGAATTCAACGCACCCACACTCCCAGCCCACCTCACCATCCACACCTGGCCCACGTGCACCCTCTCCGAGCTCGCCGACCACATGCTCGACGCCTCACCCGCGATCCTCCCAGACCCCGCCATCGGCGCGCGGCTCTGCTTCTGCCTTCTCTACGCCGACGCGCGCAGCGCGCGCACCGACGGCCTGCGGCCGCGGTACGTGTCTAAAGTGCTCGGGACGGTCGTGCTCGGCCGGGGCGGGTCCGGGGCGGGGCCCGACGAGGGGGTGCCCGACGACGAGCCCGACGACGCCGACCTGACCCTGGCCGAGGCCCGTTTTATTACGGGTGATTTTATTAGTTGCGCCATCCTGCCGCCGGACGAGCTCACCGGCGACGTCGCGCCCGCGACCAGTGCTAGGATGGGCCGTGGGGCGGGCGTCGGCGAGGCTAGGGGCGGTGGGCATGTCGGTGCGCCGTTGCCGTTTGCGGGGCCGTCGAGGCAGAGGGATTATGCCGCGCCCGGTGGGTACAGTGGGGGTGGGAGGGGGTCTCGGAGTGGTGGTTCGCGGGGTGGTTATGGGGGTGGTGGGAGGTTTCGTGAGCGGGAGGAGCCGTTTGGGAGGGGAGGCTTTCGGATGCCGGAGGGGGAGTGGAGGAGAGGAGATAGATTGCCTGATGGCCCTCCCGATAATGGACGGTGGGGGAGATGAGAGGTGGAGGTTCTAAGGGTAAGCTGGAATGGGAAAACTAGCGGATGACGGGCGCCAATGGTCGGGGAATGCTGGCGGTAATTGACGGCTAGCCAAAGGGCTTGCCTGATCGACCTTATGTGGTACTATTCGGAGTCTTTCCGGAGTTGAGCGATAATAAACATACGTTTGGCAAACACCATAAGTTGGAGCTTACTGGCACCCGCGATTCCCACCGGCTTCACTTGGGGAGACCTGAGCCATCGTTTCCGTCTCTTTTGCAAAACTAGCCCCTTGGCCCGTCCCTATACAGGCTGAACCCCCGATTTTGGTAATCGAGCCGTTTCGTTTTGACGAGAGATGGTACGCCGCTTACCGGGTCCTCCAGCGTCCAGGACCCCGCCCGGCATGTCATCAATATTGTCACGATGTCGCTAACAGAACATCGGGAGTTGGTATCGTCTGTGTCGATGCAATTCTCATTTCTGGCTTTCAGTCCCGCGCCCTTATGTACAGTACTCTTGCTCCGTCCATACCATAACCACCCATATCCTTAGCGCTCAGAGATGATGTCGCCCTTCCTCTTCCCCCGGAGATCCCACAGCCCCTAGTAAGCAGAGTTAGTATCCAATCCTAACCCAAACTAAGCCCTGTCCACCAAGCCTTGCTTCCCGTAGTCGAGAAAAAAGAACTCACGTCGTTATGGTAACCAAGATACCCGAGAACCGACGGAACAGCGATCACGTAAATGAACGAGAGGGCAGCGGTCCGCTTCGTCCACCTGAAGTACTTGTATCGGTTCGCAGTCATGTCTGCACAAACATTAGTCTCGGATTTTTCGTTACCCTGCTGCCGCATCGATGGGAAGGCGGGGTTGGGAGAGAGGTCGACATACTCCCGAGCCGGACCAGGGCCGGGTCCATGGCCATCTCTGTTCGCGCAGACACGGGTTAGCTGGGGGAGTCATGGCCAATTGGGGTAAGGTTGTTCGGGGCGCACTGTTATGCGGTAGGCCAGCCATATTAAAGTCAAGGGACTGTCCCTAGCAGTATTGGTGGCTGTGGTGGGAGGGGTTCGCTCAAAGTTCGAGGTTAGAGATTCCTCGACGATAACTGCTCGCATCGAGCTCCCAGCAGTGCGTCTGGCGGTTCATGGGCCTTGGCGCCGAGAGCTTGGTGGATGGCGGGGCGTGCACGGTCACGTGCGCTGTGCCTTCGGTCCAGCCTTGGGTTCGCTTTCACGTCAACAGACGATGACGAGTGTTGCAGTTCAGGACCGGGTTCCATCTCTTGCGTTACATAGTAAAATCGAGGTTGGCATCGATCTGTGACATATTTTCGATTGCGATTTGGAACGAGTGTTCGTCTCATCTTGTTTTTGTCGGCATGTCTTCCCAACTATTTTTTATTATCGCTGCACCCGACAACTACATAGTAAGCACTGGGTTCAACACCCACTCATCCTCGGCAATTGAATTCTGGTCTACGGCCGGGCAGGATATCGCCGGAGTGTCTACTTTGTAAGGGCAGATTGGTCAAGGAACGTTGATCTCGGCGAATTGACTAGCATCGCCAATCCCACCACGTGTGGTAGGAATTGAGTCTGGGCTTTCTCCAAGTGGAGGGGAGAGCGTAGGGATCCCAGTGCCTCGGCATCCTACCTACCCAGATTGTCCCGTCTTCTTCCCAACATTTTACTTAAACAGCCTTCCATCCCTCCCTTTTCTGCACTACCAATCCGCATCTATTCCCCTCTGCGCAAGATATTCACCCTTTTATACACAATCATGGCGGAAGAAGTAAAAGTCAAGCTTCATTGGTAAAACCCCAAGCCCACTCCTTTCCGTCCAATGCCGCTAACACGGCGCAAGGCTTGATGGCTCTCGGGCCCAGAGCACTCTTTTCCTGCTGGAAGAGTTGGAGATCCCGTACGAGCTCGAGATTTACCATCGCCAAAAGACTATGCTGGCGCCACCTGAACTCAAGAAAATCCACCCCTTGGGCAAGTCGCCTGTGATCACGGTCACGTCACCGGATACTCCTGAGCCTATCGTTCTAGCAGAAAGCGCTTTCATCACGCAATTCCTGTGCGACCACCTTTCCAAGGGCAAAACGCTTGTGCCACAGCGCTGGAAGGACGGCAAGGAGGGCAAGGTCGGCGGCGAGACAGATGAATGGATGCGATACCAGTACCTGCTGTACTACATCGAGGGCAGCTTCATGTTCACCATGGTTCTGCACTTCATCCTTAGTGGTATGCTAACCGCCATAAGTGTAACCGTGGACCACTGGATCGCACTGACAAACTGTCCGTAGGACTCAAAGGAAACAGCGTCCCGTTCTTCGTTCGGCCTCTTACGACACTCATCGCAAATCAGCTGATCACAATGATCGTCTTCCCGAACATGAAGCGTCACTTCGGGATGATGGAGCAGTTCCTGGAGACATCACCTGGTGGCGGTGATTACATGTGTGGCCGTAGCATCACCGGTGCCGACATCATGCTGTCTTACCCGCTCATTGCCGGAAAGGATGGCGCGTTTGACGGCATCGGCAAATGGGAAAAGGGTTCGTTCAAGGAGACGTTCCCAAAACTCCACACCTATGCCGAGCGGCTGGCAGCAGAGCCGGGATGGAACAGATCGGTAAACAAGATTAAGGAGATCGAGGGCGGCTTTTCCATCTTACCCAACCCTGGCGGCCAACCGTCTGCGCGCATCTAAGACGGCCCGGCCTCAACCCGGCCAGCTATCTTATGACCACAGAACAAGCCTTTTTTCGGGGCTGCAACTGATACCGTGTTGGCCAACAAAATGTACCGATACGTGGGTCCGACATCGAAGAGGCGCGGTTGGAGGCGGGGCGGCCGGAAACGTGTGGAACCATCTCATCGGAAGCCCCAATGGCGTCTCTCCGCTGCGCTGTCACAAGCTTTTCCGAGGGTGCCAAGTGGATCTGGAACGAACGAATTAGACATGACGTCAAAAATACAATCAACACGTTCGAACAACGGGAACAAATCCAATCCCAACGAAGCCTGCCGAACCCGCATTTGGGCGAGATGATCTCTGTGCGTGCCACGCTGACAGACGGGATGAGCACTAATGTTAGGCATCGAAATCAGGTACAGACCCAAGATCCAATTGAGATGAGGGGCCATCCCTCTTTGGGAACGGCATCGCCGCAATGGGACACTTTTTTAACCCCCAATCCCTACCAACTGTTACAATCCGCGGACAAAAGAAACGGCCTTGCAGGGGGGGCGCCTGAGCCTCCGAGCGACCCGACCTGTTACCCATGGGCCATCCGTGCCATCCTACCGAACCCAGCCATTTTCAGCCTCAGCTGACTGCAGCAAGCTTTTAATGCCCGCATGGAACCGTCTGATTTTTCCCCAGGAAACCCTTCCCGTTACGTTTTGATCGCCAATGTTTGCGAGTGAGGACCCTGCAATCCTGCATGGGGCTGGTGAAGAACAAGGCTGAGAGACAGGCATCCCGAATTTAAACCCCGACCCTCGCCAACCTCGGCATCATCTTACCTGGTTGGATTTAAGGCTACCGTACTTTGTATTGCATCTTTTTTTGTTTGGTTTGTCGTGGGCATTACCTACGACTCATTTCGTTGGCGATGTTTTCTTCAACGACATCTTATATCTTAGAGGGGAGGACAGATTCCCCGCCTGTCGCGGCCATGCCCCCATCACATTATCCGACGCCTCCGGCCGAGGAGGGCGATTCCCCGCAATTGGATGCTTCCGAGGAAGAAGAACTGGATGTTGACCAGGACGATGCCCAGTCGTTCCTCCAACCGGCAATCAGCCCTTTGGCAACCCTTCTCACTTCACCCAAGACTCCGACGGCCGATAAAGTCGCCGCTTTCGAGCGCCAGTCTGCAGGAATCTTCGAGATGTTAGAGAGTGATGAGCCGAACCAAGACCGGCAGACGGTGCCAGTGCCTGCCAGTATGCCGAAGGCGCCCGATAGTGCAACCGAAAGCCAGTCCCCAGTGGTACTTCCGGCGCCGTGGCAAGCTGGGCCGAAGCAGTTCATGGTTTCCGAACACGGCCGGTTTCGATCATCCATGGCCGCGGCATTCCAGACACAATCGAGACAGCATCGCTCTCAGTCGGCCGGAGAGAGTGCACTAAAAAGACTCTCAAAGGCCTTACCATCCATCTCGATCCCCTCTGGTCTCATCCCAAACATTCCGACACCTACATTCTTCTCTTCCAGCGCGAGCTCACCACAGAAAGACACGCACACATCGCAATCCCAGAGGTCGACGGAGCTTTTATCCCCTCTCACTCCCTTTCCGGGCCTTGTCGCTCCCCATGCGAGCCCTCTCCGGCCTGATTCGGCAAGACCTCGCACCCTACGGCACACGACTTCGGACGACTCACTTCTCTACCACACGCTATCCCGCGTATCTTCACTCGGGGACGACGAACGCTTTGTCCATGTCCGCGAGCAAGTGAATGTGCGAATCAAGGCCATCAAGGACAGCTTCGATGGCCCATCGTTCAAGTTACCCCAGATGCCGAGTAGGTTGTCCGTTGTATGTGCACCTCCATGGCTACATGGACTGACCAGGCCAGGTTTGCTTAACACGCCGCTGAAGAAGTCGGCAAACGATCCCACGCCAGGCGTACACTCGTCGGGCTCTGCGCAGCATGGCCAGCGTGTCAGCCAAGACCCTCTGGACGCGGTGCTCGAGTCTTTGACCGGGGACATTGTGGTTATGGGCGGGTACAGGGGTTCGATTTTGCGGTCAGCGAAGGCCCCGCACAGGCGATTGTGGGTGCCGGTCAAGGTTCAGCTGGGAGTCCGAAAGGTCAACCTGGAGGTCGGACTAGATCCTGAGGATGAGGAGAACATGGAGAAGAGCATAATTGCGGACGGCATGCTCAAGAACGTTGGCCCAGTCGACATCTCGAAGCGGCTTTTTAGGAAGTTGAGGGAGTGCGAGAACGCTCGCACTGGAAAGCTGAGGGTGCACGACTACGGTTACGACTGGCGGCTCAGCCCCCATTTGCTGTCGAGGAAGTTGGTCCAGTTCCTCGAAAAGCTGCCCTCAAACCAACCGGGTGTCCCGAAAGAACAGCGCGGTGCCCTTGTTATTGCGCACAGTCTTGGCGGCGTCATTACACGGCATGCCGTGAATCAGCGGCCTGAGCTCTTCTCGGGTGTCTTGTACGCCGGCGTGCCACAGCGGTGCATCAACATCCTCGGGCCACTCCGCAATGGCGATGCCGTTTTGCTGAACGAGAAGATCCTGACCGCACAAGTCCACTTCTCCCTACGAACATCCTTCATCTTCCTTCCAGAAGACGGCTTCGCCTTCGTCGACAAGGTCACAAAGGAAGAATACAACATCGACTTTTACAACGTCGACGACTGGATCAAATACCGCATCTGCCCGTCCGTCTCGGAACCCGCGCTCCCGGCCCTCTCCCGGAGCAGCACCTTTGGCTCGCTCCTCAGCCTATCCGACTCCCTCCCCAGCCTGCCCCTCCGCAGCCGCAGCAGCACCCAAAGCAAGAAAAACCACCCAGGCTCAGAACTCAGAGAGGCCATCTTCAAAGACCGCACCCTCGCACCACAACTCAACGGCTCCTCCGCCGCTGACACCGCCACCACCACCCCCAACAGCGCTCCCGACTCACCCCCCCGACACACCCCCCTCCGCCACCCGCGCCCGCAATATCGCCTACCTCACGCGCACCCTCGCCGAGACCAAGCGCTTCCGCGCCGAGCTCGCCCACAACCCCACCCTCCAAGAAGCCAATGCCTACCCGCCGCTGGCCCTCATCTACGGGAAGGATATCCCCACCACCTACGCTGCGGGCGTGGCCGGGCGCGAGGGCATTGCCTGCGCCGACGCGTATGACGATTTGCTGTTCGCGAGCGGGGATGGCGTGGTGCTGGCGAGGGAGGCCATGATGCCAGAGGGCTATGAGGTGGTGCGTGGGGGCCGCGTGTGTACGGATCGGGGGCATATTACGATGTTGGGGGATTTGGCCGGGGTGGGGAGGGGGTTGGCGGCGTTGGTTAGGGGCAGGGGGAAGGGGATTGGGCTGGGGAGGAAGGCGTGAGGACATGGGTGCCTACCTACCTAGGTACGGAGGGGATAGTCCGAGTGGTGCGATGGGGAGGGTTGGTGTTTCGAGGCGATGCATATGCATGAGGCGGTGAGGTGAGGAGGTGGAGGTGGAGGCAGAGGGTTAAGATGTGGTCGGGTGTTTTTCTTTTGGTACTGGCGTAGGAGGATCTGGTGTCTTTGGTTGATACCCGTCATGGAGTGCAAAATGACTATAGAAACATTCGGTAGACTTGGACATCTCGACGCCTAGAATAGAGACAAGATTTGCCTTCTATCATGTCCGGGTTAGGGTTGTTGCTGCACTTTGTCAATTTCTCGCACCTCCCCAACTTCTATTTTCAATCTCCATTCAACCCCAACAATTGCGTTCAACTAATCCAACTGGAGAAGGTATACATGCCAACCTTAGCACGCAAAGTAACAGTCCATCGGGAGTGCGCTCTCCCGTTCCAGGAAAAGCAAAGCCCACCTCGCCTCGTTGCCGCCGCGAACGCATCAACGAGAATGCACCCCGATGCTGCCCATGCATCAATCTCTCGAAGCGAAGACCTCAAAAATCCCCCATCGACAGACAACAATAACCTCACACAGATTACACAACCCTTAATTTAGGCCCCATCATATTAGTTAACCCACCCACGCGACACCGGCCGCCTCTCGCGGGCCACACCACGCGGGATTCCACCCACGCCGAGCGCTTAAATCACCGGCCAGCGAGCCAATGGCCGCGCGGCGGACGGTTGTTGGGCGCGGCCAGCCAATCTCGGCGCGCCTCACTGGCGCTTCGGCGCCCGGCACACACTCTGCACATCGCCTGGGCAGGGGGAGATCTGGCCAGGCTTTTGGGGGGGTTGCGGGGTTTGGTTGGCCGGCGGGGTGATGGCTGTCTTGCGTCTGCTGCTTCCAGAATGGCCTGCTCCCCCGCTCTGCTGGTAGTCTGTCTTTTGTTTGGCGCCCGCTACATAGCTTGTGCTGCGGTGGGTGACGGGGCCGGTCTAAAGGCTAACTGAGATGCGGGTCTATTTCTGGGCCGGGTTTGCCAGGCACAGCACGGCACTGGCCGGAGGACCGTCACGGTGGGTGGCAGTCGCGCGATGAGGTGCAGCAAAGCCGTTTCTGTTGACGACATGCTCGGGCATGGGGCCTGGGGCGAGCTAACCGCCCGCCTTTTCTTGGGGCCCCGTTCTTATTTGACGGTGCTGTGTGTGCGTGTGTGCAGGAAAAGTGCTAGTTGGAGGGGTAGTAGGGGAGAGTGAGAGTGGATGGGTAGTGAGTGGCTGGGGTATTAGTATCGTGAGATCTGCCCGTCGGGTCCCTGCGTTCCTGCTGTTGTAGTCAGTGGCTTTTGCCGTCCGTTCTATTTCTCTTCTGCTGTTCTTCTCTACGGGTTCTGTTCTGTTGGTCTCCTTTTGACCGTTTCGTGTTGCACTACTTCTCGTCTTCCTCTCGAGTCTCGATACCCCCTTTCTCCTTGCCCGAGCAGTGCTCGTCGTCAACACCGGAAAAAACCAATATAAAAAGATGGAGAAGAGCAGTCGTTCCCAGGGGTCGGCATCCTCCTTCGAGGCCGAATCCCAAGATCTCCACCTCCAATCCAAGATGCGTACCATTCGCATGGTCGACAGTGCCCGCGCAGGCGTCACGGTGCTAGCTCTTCTGATGGGCCTGACGGTCCTCGGCGTTGCGGGCAACACACTGCGTGTGTACGAGAGCACGCACGTTGCGCACGAGTTCATGCTGCCGCTCTGGCCAGACCACTTCAATCTCCGCCCGACCGTGTCGCTCGTCATCGGCAGCGTCATCGTCCTGGTGGCCAACCTCATCGCTGTCTGCTTCAGCCACGTGGGCGCTGTAAGTCCTCCCCCCCAATATCTACATCAGCGCACACCCCGAGTCTAACACACCCCCTTCTCTCCAGCTCCGCGCCAAATCGACGCTCCACACCACCGCAACCATCATCGCGCCCATGCTCGGCCTGACAGGCGCGCTCATCGCCGTCATCTTCTACTACGCCGTCAATGCCTCCGAGGTGGCCGACACCTTCATCTCGTGGACGTGCCGCTGGAAGGACATCCCCATGTCGCAGGCGCCGCACTGGGACACCCTCTGCCAGCAGGGCCACGCCGGCCTGTACCTGGCCATCCTGCTGATCCCCGTCGAGGTGGCGGCCCTGGCCCTGGCCGCGTTCCAGCTGAAGGTGGAGAGGTACACGGATCGGTACCTGGGCGCGAGGAAGACCCCGGTGTTGGGTTAAGTGGGGGATGTGAGAGCTGAAAAGGGTATTGGGGAGGTGCGGGAGGTTGGTTGGGGGGCTGAGCCGGGATTGCCTGTGGCATCCGTGTCGGAGATGGGAGGATGGTTTATTTGTTTTCGGCGGCGACGTATTTTTGGGTTTTTTTTTTTACGGTTTCTGGTCCGGGAAAGGATGCAAGGCCGGCTGGTTTTATGTACTTGTAATGGCTCATCATGTGTGATATGTCAGCATTTGCATCCCATTATCACAAGAACACCTGCCGTGTGAGACCTGAACGAGTCTCTTACATCGTGCCACCCATAAGGGCGAGTCCCGTTTAACACACGATGCGGTATCGTAACATGTGCGAGTCATGAGCCATACTTGTCTGCCCGGGCTCGTCGCCCCGAAAGCAAACGGCCCACGGAGAGTGTTACCTACGTGAAACTCGGAGAGGCAAACTGCATACCCTATACTCGGCTTCCTGCAGTCTGCTATATCAACCCGCTGCTACCCTTTAACCAGCACAACCCGGGAACAAATTCCCGTAATAGTTCGGTCACCCGCAATTGCTTGTCTCTTCCCGCCGCGAGGTGCTTATCTCGTTCGGCACGGCTTCCGGATATCAGCGGGACCCCCAATGGTACCAAACGATATCCATGAGACCTATCAACGGCAAAGCCTGCAGTATGCATGCGGGCTAATCTTCTCGTAAACAACCGCGGCAGCCCGCTCTGGACGGCTGACAGAGAACGCATGTTCGGAATCTTAGCATTCTTCCCTTGGTCCAGCGCAAGCACTCCGCTCGACACCGCTGAGCTGATGGGATTGACATGCTGCGGGGGCCCGACGGTGTGCCTTGTCATTTTTTGATAGCTCAGCTAATAGCGTTGGGATAGACCATGCGTCACTCAAAATCTGGGTGACGGCTGCCGATACCCGTGTGCAACAAGCCACCATCCATGGCACCCACCTTATCACAGACAAGCGACTGCATTTGCAACATCCCAATCCCTCCTTCTCGCTAGACACGGACGAATGGGTGTCTCTTACAGGAAGCATGGTGACCACTCCGGCACCCTCGTGCTCTCCGTCCCCGTTTCTCCGACCTCTGTTATCCCCGGGGTGCGCCTCCAAGGGGGCACGCGACGCACTCCCCCTTCCACAGGAGGCAGTTCTCTAATAGGAATCCATCCCCACCGCAGACTGCCATATACCTTCCGCACACCTCACCACCAAAGGGCCGCAACCCATCATAGATCGGACAGTCGCCGGCATCACCGCCAACGACGTGTTTCCCGCTACAGGATTTGACACCAAGCCACGATGAGCCGAACACCGCACCCCGGCGCGAGCAAGCCTCCTCCTCAATCCCCAAAACAGCTCACGATTTCAGAGCAAAAGGTCAAGGTACCAGTACTGCAGCCACCACCGCCCCTTGTTGAGGTGAACCACCTCATGCGGCACATCGACCGGGCTCCGCCAGGCGACATGGCCCGCAGGAGCAGGACGCCGCAACCGAGAGAAGAGCTCACCAGACACAAAAGCAAGCGCAACTTCTTCGAAGACGCCTTCTCCGACAACCCACTCAGCCTAGCCCGGGAGCGCGTCCACGGCGACGCCATCGTCCTTGCCGAGGTCAAGACCAACGTAATCGTACATTACACCCCTCCCCTCCCCCCAACTTCTTACCTCCCCACCTACCCCCCCCATAGCACGGGTGCCACTCACACTCACACCAACAAACGCATCTGCCGCGCAACCAGGTCCGCGACGAATTCACCTTCATCACCGAGCTGGCGTACCACCTCTCGACGCGCTACCAACGGCCCGTCTCCTCGGTCGTCGTCACGCTGCGCCACGGCGCGTGCATGTTCTGGGGCGGCTCCTTCGACCCGGCCTACGTCATGTCCGTGGTTGCGCTGCCGTCCCAGCTGCAGCCGACCACCAACCGGCGCAATGCCGCCCTGATCCAAAGGCACATGGAGGAGACACTTGGGGTGCGTCCCGCGAGGGGGGTGCTGCGGTTCGTGCCTGTTGCGGAGGAGGGTTGGGTCTGTGGGGGGAGGACGGTCGCAGGGGAGGTGGAGGCGTTGGAGAGGGGGGTTGGTAGGGGGGTTGGTGGGGGTGGTGAGGGTGGTGAGTTAGCTGCGGCGGCGACGGTGGGTGGGAGAGGAGGGGCCGCCGAGTAAGGGGGATAGTAAAGCGGGTGGTGGGGAGGAGGGATAGAAAGGATGTTGAGTGTCAAGGTAAGTTTGGGGGTTCCTACTACGCCCTTCTATTTTCTCCCATGCCCGCCTTGGTGAGAACCAGAAAACTGGACAGGATATCTTAACCCCGCAGTCCATCGCCGCCCTTCGACCTGCATCAACCACGGTGGGGTTGCCCACACCAGAATTAACGCCACCCGGTAGCGGCGACGAGGGTTTATCACGGATGCCGGAAGCACGCCCCAAGAAGGAACAGGGAAGTGAGGCGGGTGCTGCTTCTCATTCACCGCAGAGAAAAGCGGCGCAACGGAAGAAGAGCTTCGTGGCTACCATTTTTGGCCGGTCGGGCAGTAAGCCTTTATATGACGCGTCTCTGCCGGCGATTGCAGATGAGGCGTAAATTACAATCCACATCTCGTGCGCATCATGTGGGATTTTGGTGTTGATGGGAAAACAGGAGATGGTGAAGGAAAGAAGAGAGAGCCATCACCAGATGCCAAATGCCAAGAAATTACCATTGGCTTCTCGCTTGCCGTGTGTTAGGTAATCGGACAGGGGCTCACACGCTGTGAGGACCCCGCCACGCCCGCCTCGGTGAGGCTCACCTGAACTTTCCCCCCATGATGGTCTGAACTTTACCCCGAGCAACTGCCCTGCACTTCCTCGCGTGGCCCTTGGCAGTTTTCATACTTCACTTCATATCAACACCGATAGATCCAAAATTACCACCCCAACGCATTGAATAAATTCGACGACGACGATGATACACGGGTCGAGGTGCACGGGGATCTTTTTTATTTGCCGATAACACTCGGTACCACTCGCTCCCAACGACTTCCTTCCCTACCCAGTTAAGGCTTAACACGCTGTGTTATCACCATCTGTCCGCTGCCCACTGAGCGCTGAGAGCCAGGGGAAGCATCAACCAGCCCGCAACCAAAACCCGTGCTCGATCTACAAGTATCCTCATCACCATCCCCGCTCAGTTTTCGATTTACTCATCGGGTGGTCGTTTTTATTCGATTGGTAAGTTAACAAATCCCCCCCCCCAGTCTCAACCACAGCGATCTTGCTGCCTGATGGTTTCCCCCATCTCATCTCATTTCCCATGTCACCAACTCTTGGTCGGCGGATTCTTCCACAGCTCAACCTTCCCTAAATAAAGTCTCACTCTCATTCGCCCAGGTTTCAGGCTTTTCCAACCAAGCCACCTCAAGCCCCTGCCCCGGCCACGCTTTACGACCTGGCCCGGTCCTAGAACTAGCTAGCTAGACCAAGGGGGGCTTGCTTGTTTGGCTTGTTTGGCTTGTTTGACGCCAGTCTCTCCTGGTCCGAAGAGCCCGCTTCCGGCCGTTAAGACCGTTGGCTCGGGTGGTCTGAGAGCTTGCGCCGACAGGCTATCGCCGCTGTTTCACAAACAAAATGGAGGTAAGCAAACTCACGAACGAATTGGGCTTGCATTGGGAGTCGACTTTTCTCTTGCTTGTTGTTGTTTTTGCCTTTGCCTTTGCCTTCATCCGCCTTTTGCTTTTGGCCACGAGAAACCACAAAATCATCTCCATCCCTGCAAGCGCAACATCACAGTTCCAAGAACCCGACACATGACCGACCGAGGTTTAGAAATCCCCCTTGGTCGGGCCGTAATCTCTACTGTGTGGTTCTCGGCGCACTGGTCGGGCTGACCTGGAAAACCCACGCCGACGCTCTGGCCAGGTATCATCAGGTCGGGCAAGTGTCACGCCAGTTCCTCCCCCTAGGCAGCGACAACTCGTGATGCGCGACAGATCGAAGGGCAGGGCGGACGACGGCTTGAGCGCCCCAAGCTTTTGTGGGTGCGCCTGACTCATTATGACCTTGGTCGTGCTGGGCCGCTGCCAATTCCTCGTTGCAATTCGCCGTCCCACGATAGGACGGGGATCCGCCGTCTCCGTGCCTGTTTCTCATGGTATATAGCCGTCGCCCCCCTTGCCGCAAGCCTCTCCTCCTGTCCTGCCAACTCCCGGTTCCACTCGTCTCCGACTGGTCGGACGAGCAAGTGAAGGAGGGACCTGTGGAGGAGAAACGGAGATGGCCGCTGCCGATACCGATGACCTAGCCCGACGACGGTGAACCAAGTGCTCGCGTGTCTTGGGTCGGCCGTGACGAGCTCCTCCCCTCTCCTCGCACAAGCAAGCGCCTGCGCCGACCCGCGAGGTCTCTCATCGTGTTTTGTCTCGAGCCTGCGCAGGTTCCCTTCCGTGCCGGCGGGCTCAGACACCCGGCGACCAATACGCGCGAATCCCTCCCCCCAAGCTACAAACGAAAGGGGCCCGAGACCAATGAGCTTGACGCGCGCCCCGAGTCTACAAAAGTGGCTAGAGACCGAGGCCGAGCCATTCCCGCATATCTCGAGCATCTAGAGAGCCGGATAGGGCCGTTGCCGCGACTGACCGAGGGGGACTTCTTTGCTCCATCATGTCTTCTGCTTCTGCCGAGGAGGACGCCGATGTCCCTGCTGACACCACCAGCGGGCCCTCCCGTCCTCGCCCCGTCCGATATATCAGTCCAGCAGCGCTAAATCTTCACCGTGTTTACGAACAGAACCGTCAACGATTACAAAAAAAAGATGGCGCCAAGGTGCCCGACGCGACAACGCCCCAAACAAAAGGGAGGCCGAGGCTCTTGTTGATGGGCCAACGAAGGTGAGAGAGGGTGGTCGTCCAGGACTACCCAGCACCCTTGTCCTGGCTAACATCATGATAGGAGTGGGAAGTCGTCCATTTCGAGCGTGGTCTTCCACAAGCTTCCTCCTACGGAGACGCTGTTTCTTGAATCCACGGCACGGATCCAAAAGGATAGTCTGAGGTGCGTTCGCCCTCGTGCCCTACCACAACGCCATTGCTGACATGCCCAGCTCCTTCATGGAGTTCCAGGTCTGGGACTTCCCCGGGCAGATCGATATTTTCGACAACCCCAATTTCACCTTCGACATGGACGCCATCTTCGGCGAGATCGGGGCCTTGATATGGGTCATCGACGCCCAGGACGACTACCTTGAGGCCGTCGCGCGGCTGAACGCCACCATCCTCCACCTGCACCGCAGCTACCCACACATCAACATCGAAGTCTTTATCCACAAAGTCGACGGCCTGAGCGACGACTACCGCCTCGACATCCAGCGCGACGTGACCATCCGCATCCAGGACGAGCTGTCTGACCAGGGCGTCGAGAACGCGCCCGTCAACTTCCACCTCACGTCCATCTACAACCACAGCATCTTCGAAGCCTTTAGCAAAGTCATCCAGAAGCTGATCCCCCGGCTCGGCCAGCTCGAGGCCATGCTCACCAACCTCTGCCGCACCTGCCGCTTCGAGAAGGCCTACCTGTTCGATGTCAACACCAAGATCTACATCGCCACCGACAACACCCCGGAGGACATGGCCAGCTACGAGATCTGCTCCGACTACGTCGACGTCTTCATCGACTTTACCGAAGTCTATGGTTCGTGGCCCCGCTCCGAGCATTGGCGCGAGCGCCTCGAGGGCGAGCCCTGGGCACAGCCCCTCGACGACCAGGTCGCCTGCGAGTGGGCGATATGTCATAGGCTCTTTCCCTAGGTCTCTCCGTCCCTTCTTGTTCGGTGAGGTTCAAGCTTTTTTGGGCTCTGGCGCCTCTCATAAAGGAGGGCTGTATGGAGATATCCCCCCAAATCACAATAAAGTGGAATGTGTTTTACAAGGGTCTACCCGATTTTTTGGAGATCCCCAACCCAAAGGAGATTGGGGGGGAGGCCCGGGGGCGGGGACCCCCGGTTTTGTTTTAAGGGGTTTGGAAATTGGTGGTAAAAAGTTTTTGGGGGGGGGGGGGGGGGGGGGGGGAGGTATGGTTTCTGGAGAAGTCGGGGTTGTGTGTGCCGTGGATGGGTATATAAATAGTACATTCGAAAAGCGGTCCCAGTAGGCCTATTTATTGACTCCCTGTTCAGTATGTCGTCTTTCCAACTCTACTTTGAACCTCTTGCCTAGCCTTCCAAGCCCAGTATTTGCGGTCACATGTGCATGCCCTTCCGTGTATTGTTGGCGTATGGGGTTTGCCATTACCATTTCCCTCACTTACTCTCCTAATTTAGTAAGAAAGACACTCAGTATTGTAATTGTTGCCGCCTTGGCCGGTAGCGTGGTCAGTTGACTACCCCTTAACAACCTCGCCAGAAGATACCTATGGAAAACACTAAGGCTCACTAACAGGTCATAGGATGTAAGTCTTCACCGTCCCAAACAGCCAACGCAAAATGATCTTTGATAACTTCGTTTATAGCTGTAAATAGACAGGCCATGGCCGTTTTCCTCTATCCCCGTCCACCCGATCATAAGTCATCAATACTCGTAGTAACACCACGAAGCAATACAAATTGTCCCCAAATAACAGAAGAAGTGATCTAAAACACCCAAAAACAGTAAAGCACTATCACCACCCACCACCACCAACCGCTTAACCCATCAACCCCTCCGCGTGCTCCGAGAGCGCATGACATACCCGCTTGCCGGCGGCGCCCAGTACTCATAGTCATCAGAGCCCGCCGTCCTGCCCCTCGTCGTCGTCTCGCTGCTCACATAGCGCGAATACTCAACAGGGCTCGGATTCCACGACCGCCGGCGATAATCCACATCATCCGGCCCGACATCCCTCACAATCGGCCCCGACGACACCGAACTCGACCTCGGCCGCCCACCACCAGACTCACTCCCCCTTCGCGACCTCGTCGTCACCGTCGACGCACTGCTCCGCCCACTCCTCGAATCCGACCTCCTCGACACCGGCGGCGGCGCCCGATCGGGAATATACTGCCTGACCGCGTTCCTAAAAAACTCCACCGGCACCCCCATCACCACCGCATCCGACATGGCCCGATTCATCCGATCCACATACTCCTCCCTCGGATCCCCCGGCTGCACAAACGCCTCACTCAAATACACCAACACCCCCGGCTGCAACCGCGGCGCCTGCTCCGCCAACCGACTTGGCCTTTCCACGCCCAATATCGCCGTGCGCCTCCTCGCCCCGGCCACCGTGGCGGCCGCACCCCCCGCCTGCACCATCCCCGGCACACGCAGCTGCAGCGCCGGCGCGGCCTCGTACAGCACCACCGGCAGGGTAGCCTTGGCGTACGCGCCGGTGCGCACGCCCTCGCTGCGGTCGAGGCGGCGCTCGTCGTCGGCGGAGCCGAGCTCGTAGACGAGGCCGTGCACGGACCGCCCCGCGCAGGGGACGACGTTGGCTACGCCGCGCTGGTTGATCTGCCATTTGTAGTCGGGCAGGATGGCGCGTCCGATGAAGTAGCTGGAGGGGCAGCGGGTGGCCATTTGTTCAAGCCAGAGGTTGCTGCCGTAGGCGAAGTAGAGGCGGCCGCCGGGGGGAGGGGCCGCGTGGCGGGAGTGGCTGAACATGGTTTGGGTTGAGTGGTGGTGAGTGATGAGGGGGTTGGTGATGTTGCTCGTGGGGGTGTGAGAAGGGGTTTGGTGGTTCACTGGTTTTCGTCGATGTCGGGGTTGGAGTTTTGGTTGTAACTTTGGGTGTAGCTCGACAAGCAACTAAAGCCCAAGATTTGGTTTAGTCCAGAGCGGGGGTGGCTTAGGGTGGTGGGAGTGAGATCCTGTAGATTGAAAAAAAAAGGGAATGATTGAGAAATGCCATGCAATATTGTCCGAGGGTAGGCAACACACAAAACCAACCTGGAACCCCTCTCCCGAGGCCTGTTCCACGCTAGGGCTGAGGAACAGACGGCCCCGTCAGCAGACGGTTGGCTCCATCATTGCTGCAGGTGTGCGGCGCTGCTCACATTCGTGGTTACAAACACGGCAGGGGTAAGTAAAATATACTTGAAGCCCGAGCATAGTATAAGAGAAAAAGAGGGAAAATAAAACAAAAATTAGGGACAGTGACAGAGAAAAGCCGCCAACGTGTCGACAGAGTTTACGGCGCAGACGCCGGTATAAAACAAGCGAAAGTTGGTTTGTCAACTTCTGAACTGAGTGGTTCGCATAATCGACGTTACATCGCAGATCGGAGGTCACCCACCCTCCCACCTCAGTGATGGTAAAGGAAGCTATTGGTCAAAAATCAGGTATGAGCTCAGAAGCAGAAGGGGGGACGGGTCGAAGAAAGTGAATGTACATACTAGTATAGGGACGAAAGGTGGGTGGGCCCAATGGTTAGCTGGAGGCAACAGAGTAATAACCTTAATTTCAATCCCACGTCCGCTATTAGCACTTTTTCCAGCAATGGGGCCATCAAAATGTTAGATAAGGGGGAGGGGAGGGGCAGAGCATGGGGAGAGTGGGATAGATGAGGGGATTGTTTGATTTCAACCAACGGTCAGCCATCTTTTCTACGAGTGGGATAAAGTCAGGTCTAATCAATATATCTCGTGGTCGGTGAACCCGGGGCCTGTATTTCCCCAAGTTCCAATCCAAAATACTAACGGGTACTAGATTCCTCAATCTCGGCAATGGACTAGTATCTTGAGCGAAGGGTGAATATATAAAATCTAAAAGAAGTAGAAATGACTCGTAGACCATATGCTGTCAGTTTGATTGAACGGTTGAACCCAGTTACTGGCAAAGCCCCAACTTCATTCAATTAGGGTCTCGTTGAAACGTTCATGGTTTACGGGGAGGTGATGTTGCATGTCCATCTCAGCGGCCGCCATCCTTACTTCCGCGTATAGAATATCTGTAGAGGGGAGGCGGCGGCGGCCATCAGGGCTCGGATCATACAGCTCGTTCTTATGTAGCGTTAGCCTCGCTGAAAAATACCCTGAAAATCAAACGTAGTTGCAGACAAGGAACCTACCTGCTGGAGCATGGCGTGGATGAACGACACGGCAAACGCCATCCACCGCTTGGTGCGGAGCTCGCCCCTAAGGGACCGCCCGCCTCGGAATTCGATCGCGCCCGAGCCCCCCGGGAGCACGCCGTCAAAGTTCCACAATACGTGCCTACTGCTCTGCATGATGTTGCGCAGCTCCTCTTCGCCACCGGCGCTGTCGATGAGCCGCGCCACGGCGCCAGGATCCCCCTTCACGCGGTAGAGGTAGTCGGAGGACTGGGTGTTGGGCTTGCAGAAGATGCTCTCCCTGCGAGCGGGCAGGAGCAGCTCGGTCACAAAGGACTCGTACACCACGGCGGCATAAGCGATGGTCTTGAGCTGGGGGAGGGTGAAACGCTCGACGCGGCTCCGGGCGACGTGCACGTGGCTGCCGCACAGGTCGGAGCGCTCCGGCATGTGGAAGACGGCGCGCAGGGCCGACCAGAAGGTATCGATCTCGGCACCCCAGTCGGCCCGGGTGTCGAGGGCGGGTGAAACGGCCTCGATGGAGACTGGTGACGGGGAGGGAAAACGCGGTCGCGCTGGTCAGTGACAGGAGCGGGCATGACACAAATACCCGGGCTTACTCATACTCGTATCAAGAGGGACACCAAGCGAGCCGTTTCGGGTGATCCACCATCCGTTATCGCCATCTGGGCGCCGAGAGTTGCTGTCGTCGGCGGCGTTTGCCTCTAGACCCCTATTCCGGAGCGCTGCTGCTAGTTTGCCGTGGTACAGCGCGTGTTTCTCGTGGAGCGGCGGCCTGACCTTGTGCGGTTCTGCGCGAGCCTCGATGTCGACAGCGAAGGTGTAACACGGCGCAGCTACCAACAACGGGTGCGCCATTGCGTGTGGCCAGTCAGCAGCCCGTCACCGGTGCATTAATTAATAGAAGGGTTATGATGCACGTGGTCTCGGCTCGCCCTTCTGGTTTTGTAATAGTGTGTGTGGATTGCCCGATGACGTTGCACTTGGTGGCCCGCTTGCTGTGCTCTTGGACGGAGTAGACGAGGGTTTTGCTCTTTTCGCTTTTTGTTGCTCAATGTGTGGTGACTCGAAACAGGAAGGAACTGCTTAGTAGCAGGAATGCGGGGTTGCAATTGCTTGGGTTCGGTTAGGGGGGTATGGGGGCTGTTTGAGGCCGCGCCGCACCTACCTAATCCGAGGTCGCTCGGGCAGGCCTCGATTACGGATTACATGGTGGCTTCTACCTGGACCTGTATGTTGCCAAATAATGATACCAGGCAATTGTAGGTAAATTAAGGTTCGGGTATGATAGACGGTAGGCCTTTCGGTAGTCCCTCCGGTAGGTTAAATCGTATAAGTTCGACGCCACCCGACTAGCCCTATCACGCTGCACTTCGACCGACCTCGTATACTGTCGCACAGCTTGCAGTCGACCGACCTAGAGTCTATTCAACATCCATACAGTTTTTGAATTCTCAATCTTCTCCACTTCTGAGTCCTGAGGCTTCTGACAACCCCTATCGACCCAAGTCTACCTACACAGCCATATTATATTGTTTTTTTTCTTCCTTGCCTTTTTTTTCTTTTTTTTCCCCTTTAGTCTCGGGCCCTCGGTGCGCCTTCGTCTTTGACTCGCAAACTCGCAAGTCGCACCGATAAATATGTCAGCTGGGTCCCAAGGCAGAGGTGGTGCCGTGAGGCGTAGGCCACGCGCCGAAGATTCCAACCAAGTTGCGCTATACTTCACCTATGGCAGCAACCTCCATATCGCCCAGATGGCCGACCGTTGCCCCGAAAGTAGATTTATAGGTAAAGGCACCTTGACTGGATACCGCTGGCAGATCAATTCACGAGGCGTGGCCAACGTCGTCGAAACCGGCTCCCATCATGATAAGGTGAAGGGTCTGGTATTTGAGGTAACCCGCGCCGACGTGAGAATCCTAGACCGCTACGAAGGAGTCAGGTCGGGCGCCTACAGTCGGGAGACCTTGAACGTCTACGTAACACCCAACGACGCCCACGCCCGCAAGAGGAGCACCGACCTTGCCGCAAGGCTCGAAACCTACTACCAGGGAGCCCCCCGACGTAGCGGTCTAGCTGGCAACGACACCATCGAGAGGGTGAAGCTTCCTGCATTGGTCTACGTCAGCCTGGAACACAACCAGGACGGCACCATCCGCGACGAGTACATTGCGCGCATGGCAAATGCCATGGCCGATGCGAAGGTGCTCGGCGTCGATTCCAAGTATATCAGGGAGGTCATGGCTCCGCTGTGTCAACCCCCGAGCGAACAGCCCGGCGCCTCTCAGCCCCCACCAACGGTGAGTGAGGCTCCCGCACGCCCACCCGGCAGAACCCCCGCAGCCCCCGCAACCCCCCAAACCGAAGGATCGAATCACGCCGGTGGCGTAGGAGGTGTTCTTAGACGTCTTGGGCTTACACGTCCCCGGGAACAGCGACGCCCCGCCGAAAGGCCCCCTGCTGTCGAGAGGCCCCCTACTGGTGACAGGCTCAGTGCCGGCGGCGGCGGCGGGAGACTCGTCCAACGCCGCTCTAGAGCTAATCTCGTCACGGTTGAACCGAGCGCCCGACGAGTTCCCGCCGAACAAGCGCGAACTCGAATCGAACGAGAGCGCCGCGGAAAAGAAGTGGCCCTGCCAGAGCGCCCCCGTCGAAGACAGCAGGACGGGGAAGGCGAGAGCGGCCGCGAAAACGACGGACCGTCCGACACTGCCACGCCTAAACGGGCGGCAACCAAAGCGACGGCGACGGCGACTGGCGAGGGCGGCAATGGTAACGCATCGACGGCAACTGCGAACGGATCCCGCGGTCGCACCCAAGCGGGCAGCAGCCAAGAATGAGAACGGGACCGGTCCGAGGGCCACAACAAACGGCGAGGGTGGCACGACGACACCCGCAAACGCATCTGGGGCCCCGGCTAAGCGGCCGGCGGTCAAAGCTGATAATGGCACTACTCCGAGAGCCACGACGAACGGCGACGGCGCTTCCGCGACGGCAACGACCAACGGGTCTGCGACCGCACCCAAGAAGAAGGCGGCAATTACCAAGACAGGTACCGACGACGCCACGGCGACGGCAACGACCAACGGGTCCGCCACCGCACCCAAGAAGAAGGCGGCAACTACTAAGACAGGTACCGACGACGCCACGGCGACGGCCACCACGGCGACGGCCACCACGGCGACGGCCACCACGGCTACAGCTACCACGTCTACGGCTACCGCGGCCACCAACGGGACGGCGACCGCCACCAAAACGAAAGCGTCGACCAAAAACGAGACGGGCGCCGGTGATAAGCCGGCGGCAACCGGAGCGGCCGCCACCACCAAGACGAAGGCGACCAAAACCGAGACTACACCCGCCCAATCTTAGGTTGGGAGTCGCGAGTGGCAAGAAGGCGGGATGTGCAGTGGTTAATGGACAAGCTGGCCTTGATTCATTCGGGGAAATGGTTGGGCCCGGCAGTCCCCGGGCAGCCACATTGACGGCCGGGTTCCGTCGGTGGGTTGCGCGTAGGACTGTGGACGGGTCACGGTAGGGTGGTTATGGCGTACTATATACTTTTCTGGCTTTGAGCTTATAGATTGTATTGGTAGTGATAGGCGAATATAAGTCAGAAAAGTCATTCGAGGATGGGACGCGGGGGGGTATTCATGATACGGTCATGGGCATGATGATACGCATCGTTTGAATCGCCCATGAAGCCCCGTTGTTACATGTAGAAAGAAGGCCTGATAAAATGCCTCGCATATTTTTGAATTTAAGGTCTGCTCAACAACCGAACAAGATCCATGAGGGATGTACCCGGTACAAGTTGTTGTCAGGGGGAATCCAAGGGTTAGGGTACATATCCAGTACAACTTCAATTCAAGTCTGCCTTGCCTTGCCCCTTTCTTACTCCCTGACATGCTGCAAGGCAACATCCGCGAAGCCCGGCCTCCATTTTCATCTTTCCTGTCGGCGTATCCCAGCCAATGCCCCATGCCTCTTTTCAACCAACTCCCTTCTGTAGAGAGGAGGCGCAAGAAAACAGCCCAACATGACACCCCGAGTGGCTCATCCCGCAGCATGCATGCTTCATCAATTCAAACAACCAACAGGAGACAAACCAAAACCAATAATCAAGAACTCAACAGCGATTATCGGAGCAGGTAATCAAGTCCAATCTCGTACAGCACGGTAAGCCAAACCCCAACAAACCAACCGAATACGGCAAATCAAAGTCACCAATACATACTCACTCCACACACGATACAGCTTACATCCAGCGCAAACGGCAACTATCCAACAAGTATCAACCCATCCAACCCCCTCCCTCAGTCTCACCAAACCCGGCCACACCCGACACACCCGACCCAGCCGCTCGGATGCTGGGATGCTGGGATGCTGGGATGCTGGGATGCTGGGGTGGTAGGACTAGGCTGTGAGACGGGACGTCGGAACAGGCCGATCCCACAAGGACCGGGACAAGGAAAATAATAAAAAGAAAAGAAAAAAAAAAAACAAGAAAAAAGGGAACGGCCGGCCAGATATTGCGGCACAGTCAGCCCCAGCCCGGCCCAGCTCGACCCCAGCGCAGTTTACCGAATCCAGGGTCCAGGGTCCAGGGGGTCCAGCTTCCGGGCGGCCGGGAAGGAAGGGGGGAAGGGACGCGTATCATGTAAGACATGGAATGAGACAGGCGAAGCACACAGTAGGTAGACCGAAGGGGACATTTTCCGATGGAGGGGGTTTAACTGTTGTGTTGTGTGTGTCGTGTTTACGACTTCAGTGTTCGGGGCCGTCTGTCTTTGGCACTTTGGACCGAGTTGTTCTCCCTGTCTGGGGTCTAGGCTACCACTGTATCATCTAGTAGTACACTACTACTTACTAAGTAGTAACGTACCAGGTAGTTATGTGGAATTTCGTACAGATTGTATTTGTTCGGCGCTACTACTCTAAAGTCTCAGCTGGTGCAAGTATTATGCAAATGAAGTCTTCCTTCGGAGATATCCCAACCACGGCCAACCGCGGTACTACACTACAACAGAGTTTTCACATCACGGTGCCACAAGAGGAGAAAAGGAAGAAACGTTGCATCCCTTTTGTCCCGCTCCCACTTCCGCAAGCAGACGATAGAGTTACACCGCGGCTAAATTCGCGCCGCTGCAACCTTTCCGAGACATAAGTCGTCAACCCCCGTTACCCAACGAAGGACCAGTCACATGCACGACTCACATCAAGGCACAACCAAACGACTCGTTTTTTTTTTTTTTTTTTTGGTTTTTTTTTGTGTTGCATTAGGTACTATATGCTTGAGAGTAGAGTAGAGCAACTTAAACTACCTGGCTATACTCAACAAACGACGAGATGAGCGTGTTTGCGTGCAGTAAGTAATCCAGCCGCCATCCAGGGCGGAATACTTTCCAGCATCTCATGCCGGCTGGACCGTACAACGTAAGCATGTCTCTGGTAGGAAACGGAGCGCTGCTCCTTGACCCCAGAAAAACAAGCCACTGTCGCAGGTCCAACCGGCTTCGCCTCCCTTGCATCCAGCCGCCATCGCACGTTACGCTGCGTGAGCAGGTCTCGTGTGAGACGATGGAATGAGAAGGCCGGCACGCGGTGAGATGATCCGCATTCGCCCATCCAACCCAGCCCAAAGCTACCGACCACATGTCCTCCCCGAGCCAAATCGACGCCAGCCATCCAAGATACTCGGAAAACCTTGACCTGAACTGCGAAGCAAGTAACACAGATTCCCGAATCACATCGTACCCAATCCAATCCCGTCTAGCAGGTAAAGTTGAGTCCCGCGGGTTCGAGTTGTATCTTGTCGCAACAGTAATCCCGTTCCGAGTTATGAGTGGCCGTCGTCGATTGCTAGGGGGGGAAAGTGACTGTCGAGAAGTCCGGGCGGGCGTATGAGCAAACAGGCAACCAGTTGCCTGCGACACCCAGTGGCCGTTCCCCATCCTGCTCTCAGCTCCCCTCTGCCTCCGAGCCAGGACCCGGCGGAAGCAGCACCTTGTTCTTGTCGACAACTAGTGTCTGCCCCGATGGTGATATCCCAGCTATGCGTCCACGGGGCTAGATGTATGTTTCGAACTGGCCTTGTACCGAAGAGTATCCGTCCATCGCGTCATCGAGACCCAGTCCCGGTGAGTCGTGTCGCATCTCTTCGTCGCGAATTATCCCAGAGCCCAATCTGCGTTTCGCGTCCGATTCGTCGAGTGTCGTCCAACATCGAGTTGGAGGGACAGGCCCGCTTTCATCCTAGTCGTCGCGATTAGGTCGAGGTTGTGTCGGTCGTCAAGGCCGTGAACATTATCCGTAAGACGAAAAACAAGGCGAAAGGGAAAAAAAAGGAGTGGACGCGATGTGTCTCCGAGACATACGCGAGGGGTATAATTATAACCAGCCGCCTGAGCCTTGTTCCCAAAGGGGTCCAACCAAGAAAATGGGGTGAAAAGGGAAAAACAGAAGGGGGTGTCTCTTGTCTCGGTCTCCGCCGAGGTTGGGTTTTGCATTGCTGCATCTCTTTCTTAAGCCAAAAACCAAAACTGCCTGTATCTCAACCTTCCATGCTGTAAATGCAATCAAATATCCGCCCCAGGATCCGGCCATGATGAGGTTGGGAAGAAAAAAGAAAAGCCGTGACCGAGCTAGCGGTAGTAGCAGTGGTATCCCAAAGTCAAAGGAAATATAAAGAAAAATGACGCTCGCTCGCTCGCTACCCCTTTGCCATATAAGGAAACCGACCAGAGATGCTTCGAGAAGGGTATGCGAGTTGTTTTTGAATCGCTCCAGCCCATGCAAAGTGAGGAAATGCCGAGATGCCTCTGATTGAGACGAGTGTGACGGGGGTCGCCACCATCGCGCTGTCTGCCAGCTTGGCGGCCCACGGGTGTCTTCGCGCCCGGCCGCGCTGTTGCTGGGGCGCTTAGGGTGATGTCGTCGCGGCCGGGTAGCTTGTTTCGTAGACCGGGGGCGGTGATTGTCACATGGTCGCCGCGTATTCCTGGTAGCGGGTATCCCAGCCGCCGAACGAGTTGTAACCCACGGTGATGCCACACTGAGGCGCAAGCATGCTTGGGAGCGGGAGCTGCGGGACAGGTGCGGTAACGAGGGGTGCGCTGTAGTACATGCCCGCGGTCGAATATGGTTGGCTGAAGGCTGGCGGGGGCGACGGCAGTTGCACCTCACTCATCCCCATGGGTACCCAGATCGATCCAGTCGAATCGGCCGAAGTTGAGGTTACGCCGGGGCTCGACGGCAGGATCTTCCAGGACTCGACCGGGGCGGGCATCGTGGCCGGCGGCGAAGGCTGGGACCAGATAGCCGCGCCGGCAGGCGAGCTAGGCAGGAGCGGTGGTTGGCGGACGACGTCCACAATCCTCGGCGGCGGCGGCAGCAGCGGCTTGAAAAGACCCATGATGCTGTTCTTGACTTCCTCGCTCCTCCCTCCGAGCAGCTCTCCGGCACCATCCTCCTCCAGCCCTTCGAGCGCCGACACGTGGGTCCTGTAGACGAACTTATTGATGGCCTGGACGAAATTCTCGTGTAGCTTCTTGCACTGCTGCTCCTTCTCGGACCAGTCGTAGGTGTTGGCCTTGGCGTCGACGCAGTGGATGTCCTTGTGGTACTCGATGAGCGACTCGATCGTCTCGGGTGTCAGCTTGTAGGCAACCTCATTCCTCAGCACCATATCGACGTGCACGATGTAGGCCTCAAGGTGGTTGAGCTCGTAGTTGAGGACGGCCTCGATCAGCGGGTTGGGGTCCCTCCTCAGCTCCGCATCGGGTGCCTTGGGGAGCAGCAGAGAGGCCAGGTTCCAGATGGCGTTTGGGGACGATAGCGTCTCGGTGAGGCATCTTTGGTGTTGCGGTACGCTGTTGAGCGGACGCTTGATCTTGTTGATGCGCTTCAGAGTCTGTGTCAACCACGGCTCTACCTTGGATCCAAGCACGACGTTCACCGAGGAGGCGCGAGGCGCGAAGGCGGCGGCCGAGGCCGGTAATAGCTGGGGTGGCATGGTGACGGGCGGATATGTGGAGCAAGCAAGGGATGCAGAAGAGAGGGAGGCGGAGCGCTTGGGGAAGAAGCAGCAACGGGCCGGAAGACGAATAGTAAATAAGAACCAAGGTGAGATAAGGTGACGGAGCCGGGTAGTCCCAAGATGGGGAATTAGCGTGCACACCAGCAACCGCAAATGGGAAGAAGAGAATGGGCTGGGCGATGAGCCTCGTGAGGAAAGGGAAGGGGAGGGAAAGGAGGGTGAGAAGCTCGTATTATTAGAGAAAGTGCGAGGGTGGTGGGGGTGTTATAGTAACACGGCTCGAAGTCCCGAACTCGGGAGTTACTTGCGTTATCCAGGCAGGGCAGGGCAGGGCAGGGCAGGGTGTGTGTGTACCGTATCTTCCTGCTCCTCTCTTGAAGAGGGTCGGGTCCTGCAGGTCGATGGTACGACGACTTGCTAAAGGGTCCGCTCGGTGGGCGGATGGCCATACAGGTGCTGAGGGCGGGAAGGACGGACCCGCTTGCAGTGCCTCGACAGTGCCTGCAGCGCTCTTTCCTCTTTGCTCTTGGCCTGCAGGAAAGGGGAAGCCGCTTCCTCGGAGGAGGCGTGAGGCAGGGAGCAACTACTGGTGCATGGCATCTCGTCAAACGTGAAATTTTACATTGGATGAACCCGCCTTGCCATGGAAAGCCTGGACAGCTCGGGTTTTCGCGGCCTGGGACCAGTACTGCGTCTGCATTTGCGTCTGCATCCGCGTGCGCTTGCCGCAGCTCGGGAGATTCCCATGTCAGCAGCCCTCTTTCGACCCCGGGGTTGTCTTTTCCCTCGGGACAGTAGCCAATGGTAGACAGGAATACTTGTTTCGTTCCCTGTCATGGTTTCTGTTCCCTCTGCTGGGTAAGGGGTACATACGTTCGGCCCCAACCGTGCTTCGATCATACGCCCTACGGACTTCCCCCTTGACTGCGCGTCGCATATCGCCGCCGGTATCGAGGCGAGATGTGCAAGGCAGCGTCGTGTATCTGGAACCTTTTGGAGGCTGTGCAGCGACTTGCAGATGCAGTACGCATTGCTCAGTGACAAAACCCGACGGTCGCCCACCAAGCGAATGGGCTGGGCCGTCGGTCGCAGCGAACGGAGCTGAAAAGATGCAGGTGGTCAGTGCAGCGCCACCGATCCCGTCTTGGTAACCATTGAGTACGTACCTCTCCGCCAAGACAGGCAGCCAACCCCGCCTGAGCTCGCCCCACCGCGCCCCGATCAGCAGCCGTCGGGAGTTTGCGATGACCAACTTCCAGGATTTGTTGCCGGCTTTCCACTGGCGTGTTGGAACTTGAAAGGGGTCAAATTAAAGCTGCACCCTCGACAGGACCGTAACGAATCGTGAGAGCATGCCTTCTCGTGACTCGCTTCAAACAACCCAGGAGGCGTATGACGCGTCCGAACAGCTGAGGAGCGAATCGTGGAGTGAATAGAAGGACCAACAGGACTGTTGCAGGAGGAGCTCCTGCGCCGCGAAAGAGGAGTCATTTCCTCTTACTCCTCTTCGTGGAATGCCGCCACCGCCCAGCATCTCATCCATTCGTTTATCCGGAATCCACGAGCGAATCTATACACGAAGGGCCAGCCCATCCACCGGGAAACCCATTCTACATGCAAAGTGATGCCATCCAGAGCTTGATGAAGGAGGTTGAGCGCGTATGCAGCCTCCGGTTCCCCGTCTCATGGTATTTGTGTGAGTTGTGATATGCATAGATTGACTCGCGTAGCGCTCGCGCAGTTTAATCTATCCTGCTGCCCGGATGGTCTCCGCGAGCGGCCGCGAGAGATACGGTGTAATGGCGAGACCGGAGCTGTGGAGCGCCAACGCTTGATATAGGTGACCCCCAATATCATGCGGAGTTGACATTACACAAGCTGTTCCCACAGGCGAGTTGCTTGATGGTGGGGACTGGTCCCGCACCACACTCGCCTCGAGCCGCGCAGACACTCTGACTGGAAGTGGTCTCAAGCATTCCGGGCCAGACGTTGATGGTTGTCGTGGATGCAACTGTTTGAGCTCCTGCACGCTGCCATAAGCGTTCGAGAAGAATTCCAAGTCGGTTTCGACGGCGTAAAACACGCATGCGGGGAGGGCTTCGATTCGCTGCCAGGAGATTGAGTCAAGCCATCAATCATGCCCGCAAGATTGCCCATGCTGGCCGTGGGCCTGGAGCGGCCTCGAGGCAGGTCGCAAGACGGAGTGAATGTAAACGACCCGGGTAAACAATCCCCTGACTACCGGAAACGGACTGCTGCATGTCGATTGTCAGATCTCAGACTCCAGCAGTCGGCTGCGGCTAAGAAACGCCATCGATTTCCCCAACTTGAAACGTAACAAGCGCGCGGAGAGGGTGTCCTCCTTTCTCGACCCGTCCACTTGGGTGGCTGACGAGCAGCGCTCATCGCTTGACTGGTCTTGTCTCGCTCCCACCCCCTCCGCCACAGCTCTGCGTCTGGAATCTCGAAAACACGTCCGAATGCGGCAAGCCGTGGGGTAACGAGTGTGTGAAAGCCGTGGGCCAGAGGCTTGATCTGCAAAGATGGGCTGGTCTCGAAGAGGGGCGTGGCCCCCGGAGTGGTTCCAGAAAGGAAGGACAAGAGACAACCTTTCCAACGGCGCAACAATGCTGCATGGAGAACCAGGAGGGGTCGAAGAGTCGCCAGCCAACGCCAGGCTCTGGTCATGGATGAGTCGACCGTCGTCTCGTGCTAGCGCGGAAGGTGAGCAGAAGGTGTGCAAGTTCAGATCCCTGCTTTTGAGCCTCATTGGCTGTCAGGCTGACGCCCACCCGGCCTCCATCTTGGAGAAGGACCGAGGTCGCGGTTGCTGATTGGGTCGAAGGGTCGAAAACTTGGGACTACGAGATGCCGTTCTTGGGCGCCGAGAGATAGGCCTAGAACGGAAGAGGTGTCATTGTGCCCGTTGCTCGCAGGTCGTGGAATTGAAGGCGACTCGGCGCTGATGTTGCCGCTGCCGCTGCTGCAATGCAGTTAATGCCAATCCCGGCGACCGAACCCATTCTAGGTTATCAATTTCCGACCAGAAACATGAGTTTGCTGTTTATAGCATCGTGATGATGATCGGTTTATCAGCACTCGTGCGCTTGATGATGTCGTGGTTGATGGAGATAGAAAGAACCTTGGGCTGTTTTCCAGTTCGCAAACGAATGCTGTCCTGTATAACCCTAACCCGTGGCGCAATAAGTACAGGAACTGCCTTCGAGGGCAACGCAATTCTCCCGCATCAAACTTTCCAAATCTCAACCTGGGGCTTCTACAAGTTCCACGGCTTTCGAATTCTAACAAAACACGCTTTGCATGCCCCTCTTGCGGGTGACATAACTGAAGAATGGAAGTACCGCCATGCAAGGCCCGTTTCCAAATCGGGCGTTTTGTGGCTTGCGTGGCTTGCGTGTCTTCTCTGTTTCCCCGCCAAGCCTGTTGCTGATCAGCCAGGGTGCCAGGCGAGATGAGGCGACACCCGTCGTTTGCCGCTCAGCTCGGTTCGGGGAAACAAAAGTCGGCCCCATGATATTGACTGATTGACAAACCCCCCCCCCCTGGTCACTTGACCTTCGGATAACTGTCCCTCCTGGGAAGGGAAGATCCCGTGATGCAAAAGTCCAATTGTAAGACGGGGAGTGTCAAAAACCAAGGTCTTTGCGACCTCCTTGTTTGACCGCGTCTGCCCCCCTCCTCATTCGAGAGAACAACCATGGGACGCCTCTCGCGAGACTCGACGCGTGCCCCGGTTCCCCGCGACGTCCCGTCATCTCCGATTTGAAACTCACTGATAGGGGTATGGGGGCCGAGGGGCTTTTGGTCGAGGTTATGCAGCCAGTCAAGTGATGCCTCAAGGGCAGCTCATCATCATCTTGAGATTCGACGAGGTCGCAGCTGACTCAAGCCCGAGCAGGCCGCTTTCTACGCCCTCGTGTCGATTGGGCCGGTATTCTGCTCAAGCCCGAATGCGAAGGAACCTCCGACGTCGTCGCATCACGATCCGCCAAACCGATGAGGGGAAGAGGAGGGTGGACAAGCGGGAGGGTATCAATCGAACCGGAATCCTCATCGAGATAACCTTACCCTTGTCTCCCTTCCGCAAATGGCATTCGCGATGGTGACGGGAGTTGCATTTCCGCCGTAGCCGGATTGCCCTCTGAAAAGTCGGTCAAAACCCAAACCCGCTCTGATCCACCACCGCCCGATGCGCCCAAGCGACAAATTCCTCAACCTGCAAGTGGAGGAAGAAAAGGATGACTCTTTTGCGGTGTCGGTCACCGCCAGTTACCAATGGAGCGGGTCGGCTGTTCGGAGCTGCCCCGATAGCCCGAGTGGTAGTTGACGTCACTGCCAGGGCTCAACCCTCTCTGCCTGCATACTGAGAAACTTCATGCCCATGAAGTACCTAACCAAGCGGAGCTGAAACCTGCAGTTGGGAGGGGAAAAAAAAAGATGCAGGAATCGAACAACAAGCATTCCTCGCCTCGGTTTCCCCTGCATTTGCACTTTTGCGACGTTGCATGCGCAGGTTCAAGACGGGGAAAGAAGCTCAAAGGGCAGCCCGATCGGCAGGCAAGCCGAGGTGAGGCGGTTTGAATGTGGAGGCGGCCGGGCGGGGCGGGGCTGTGCGGCCGGCAGCAGCGGGGCAATTCGGAGGCAGCCGAACAACGTCTTCAACGTCAACTCACCCGGGCCGCCTGAACGTGGCTGCCACGTATGCGGCCAACGCCACAGTTTGGGTTTTTGCCTCGCAGCTCGCAAATTCCTTGAATGCTGCCCTCCGAAACTCCGAGAAGACCCAGCAAGTTGGGTTTGCATCGATAGGAGTTTTCCGGCATGCCGATTATGAATTTCTTGGCGATCGGGTAGTTATGCGTTGGCGGGTTGCCTCTCTCCAAATCCTCGGTGAGGCTTGCGCCGTTGTCGGCTCGTCGGCCAACTGCAGGTTAGTTGATCTCTGTTTTTTCTGCCTTTGTAATCAAGCGTCATGCATTGCGCAGTTGGCAATCAGTTACCGGGAAGGCCGCTGCAACAGCTCGGAGGGTTTACTTAGTCGAGTTAAACACGACCAAGTACAAGGCACAAACTCCTGTGTACACTGTACAGAGAAGGAAGTCGCGTGTACATGTCCAAACAAGATAGCCAAAAGCCAACATCTCAGGGGTTCTTTAGCATCAGCCCTGTCAACCTGAACATCGTGACATCGTGACATCGTGACACCGTGACACGACACGACCCCAACTGCTCGGCCCGGGAAAAGGGGTGACAAGTGGCAACTACCAACAACACTCCATAATTCCAGGGGAGGCATGGCTCAACGTGTATCTACACTCTCTCTCTAAGCCACAGCCTCGAACGCCGCCATCTCCAACAGCGACCCGTGAAGCCGCGTCTTCGCTCCCACCTCCCTGAACTCCCGTAGAAGCTCCGCCAGCCCCGAGTCCCCGTCCCCCTCCCCAGTCCCGGCCACTGCCACGGCGCACATCAAGATGCGAGCGCAAACGGCAAACACATGCTGATCCGACGTCCACCCAAGCGGGCCGTCCTCCTTGCCCGCCAGCCCAATGAGGCACCGAAGGCCGGCCGCGGCCCACGCTTTGAGGCAGCCAAGCGGTGAGTCATCATCGCCATCACCACCACCATCAAGACCGCTGCCGGCAAGTCGTGGCGTCGGGCTCTTGTCCACCGGCAGGGCCCTTCGCCACCGAGCTGTCTCCCTGACCTCGTCGATGAAGAGGTTCTGGTCCTCGGCGGCGAACAGCGAGTCGTCAAAGTCCAGCGCCCTGCGTAGTTGGTCCTCTGCGGGGACCAGCCGGAGGAGGGCTATCGGGTCGCGCGACCGTGACTGCTGCTGGCCAACCATCCTGCAGACGACGCCCGCCCTGAATTCCTGTGAGCCCTTCGATCCGTCGTCGCCGAACTGCGCCCGCAGCCAGCCGACGAGTTGGCCGGCTGCGGCTGTGGCCACGGTGGGCGTGCCGATGACGCTGGAGGCGGCAAGCGCGGCGACCTCGCGGACTTCATCGTCGTCGTCGATCAGACTGTCGTAGAGCGCCGAGAGGACCGGCAAGTGGTGCGCGGTGGCCCAGTCGTGGCTCTTGGTGCCGCGGAAGAAGGACTTGAGGGCCGATGCTGCTGCATATCTCGTGTCGAAGGACTGGCGAGACAGGTTAGTTGGGGTACCCGGGAGGCGAGGAGTGAGTCAGGGGTCAGGGTCAACGTACATTGTCCACATCCAGGCATTCGCTGAGCATGTCTCCCCAACTTGCCAATCGTGGCCCCATATTCGGAACCTTCTCCGCGCCCTGAGACACCAGCGCTGCCATGATTGTCCCACTTATTTCGATGATAGCGCACGATAGGGCAGGGTTGATGTCTCCCTGTTGCAACTGGAACCAGAGTCCATCGAGCTGTTCCGTGCTTGGTAGCTCTGAAACTTTTCCTCGACTGAGGATACCGTCCATCAAGGGGCCGAGGTTGGCCAAGGCCTGTGTTCGAATTTCTGGCGCTAAGGAGGCGGTGCACGCTTCCAGATACAGCTCACGCAAGCCTGAACTGATAGTCGAGTCACCTACCTGTTTCCATGCTTCGGGGATTGTCTCGAGCATCCTGCTTGCTGTGTTGATGTCACTCCTAAGCATTTTGAAGAAATACGCTCGGAGGCCTTCCTCGTCACCAGATACTGCTGCATCATAGACGACTTTCAGTGAGGCATGAAGCTTCAATAGAGCGGAAGGTGGGCCGGTTTGTGTCGTGGTGAGTTGAGGCAGGACAACCTTCGCAACTTGTTCGTGTAGGCCAAAAGTTGCGAGAACATTTAGGATCTCCAAGTAGGCCGCTTGGAGCTCTTTGCAACGCCTGAAAGCTTTCTGGCGCTGGACAAGCTGTTCTAAGAGGGCATCAACCGACGCGGAATCTGATGTTGCCCCGGTTAGTCCAAATTCTCAATATTCAGGCGCCACACTCGACCCCTACCTGATTTAAGATCCACACCCAAGTCGGCTTTGCGCTCGACTACAAACCTCGCGGTTAGGAGGACCCCGTGGATCCGGTTGGTACTGCTTCCTGATTCATCGAGAAGGCGCCCAATCTCTTGAGCCCACTCTTGTTGCAACAAGAAGGAGCACAGTGTTCTGGCCGCTATCTCTCGGACATGCCAGAGACGGCTATCGAGATACCCTTCAATGTGCTTTTGGAGTTCTGAACGGTGCTCTTCGGGAGGGCCCGCACGTCGAATGATATCTAGGGCAGGGAACACTGCCTCGGCTGCGCCAGGCTGCGATTCTTGAGCGAGTGTTTCGTCTGCAGAGCGTAATAGGCCGAGGATGACGCCTGGTAAGGTCGGATATTTGTTGTAAGAGATACGCACTGAACGACCATCCCAGCCGGATTCGATGGAGGCTTTGCTTTCGCCAGTGCCAAGCAGGCAGTCGATGAGGCTTCTCAAAAGAAGCAGACCACAATTTCGAATTGCCCAGCTAGGTGCGATTAGTAGTTATCAGGCTAAACAGCTGTTTCTAGACGTACACTTCGGATTTCAAGCTGGTTGCTGCAAGGTGAAGTGTTCTAGCTAAGTAGCCCTCAGCTTTTTTGCTCAGGAGCGAGCTTCTGAACATGTCTCGTAGGGAGTTGAGGGCATGGACTTGGGGCAGGTTGGACCCATCTGTTTCGGCCATCGAAACAGCCTTTTTACCAATCTCTTCAAGAGTTCCGTAGACTTCGGCAAAGGATGGCGATGTCGCGTTTGCCGTCAGAACCGCTGCGATGAGGGACGGGATTCCAGCCGACCGACGGGTTGTCGATGCTTGTGTCATGATACAACTGATCGCTCCCTGAACTATGTTAACATAGGCATCGAGATAACACGGGTCGGTCGTCTCACCTGGTACCACTCGCGAAGCAAGTCCTCTGTCTCGTCAATTTCCGAATACACGTCTTTTAGACGTTGGGTGAGTTGACAGCTTGTTGTGAAAGTGTAAGACACTGTTGAGAAAGCGCCGCGGTGACGCAAGCTCGAGAGTTGCTCGAAGGTCAAGTAACCCGTCTCTCTAAACACGTCGAGCGGGGGATACGGAATCCCAGGGACGTTTTTAAGCCTGAGCGTTCCCACCAAGAGGCGCAAGAGGTTGCTTGAACGAGTTAGTAAAAGTCGTAGTTTTAGAGAACGAACGGTCATACCTAGACTCGTGAATCGCTCGGAAGCTATAGCTGAGTAGGTCCTTGGTGTCTAATCCTTCAATATCCTCCAGTTCCTCTGGTAAATGGCCCTCTGGAGAGTCATCGCAGAGAACATGCTTGACGATAAGCCATATGTGCTGCGCGGAAAAAAAGATGCGACGCTGTTGGTGATGGATGAGCTCGAGCTGGTTGTCCTGATATGTTCCTTTCGCGAGGACCTGCCAAACATAACTGGGATCTGTCAGTGTCTGGGATGAAACGAGGCTTGAGCAGGGCAATGGTATGCAACGAACCTGATTGCTGCAAAGTCCGCATGTACCGGGCTTTCGATGGCCGCGTGGCCCAAGTCGTCCCCAGCCTTGGATATTTTAGTTTCGACCCGCTCCAGAATTTCTGAAAGGAGGGCAATCTGTAAGTCTGGTTTGCTCAGCCAAGTGCATAAAAGACCCTGTGAGCGAGCGGCTCCATCACCGTGATCCGCTCGTCCCGTCCTATCAGCTAGTTTCCCGGCTCGTACGCAGAATTTTCTAAGAACCCCAAGCAGCGTTTCCGAGCCGGCAGAGTTCGATTCCTCTGTGTTCGGGGAAAGCAAGCTCAAAAGGGTAGCCGCACCGTCCCTGACATCGTCGAATGGGTCAAGCAGAAGGTCAAGAAGAAGGCGAATCCAAGTGAAGTCGGACGATATTAGTTGCGCAATGTCCCCATCGGCGCTCTCATCAGTATCTCCCGCATGTTTCCCTACTCTCAGGAGCAGGAGTGCTGCTCTGATAGCGGTAATGTGCCTCTGGTATGAGGTGGTAGGTAACAATTCGTTTTTTAGAAAACTCATGTACCACTTTAAGAAGGCGTCGTGACGGTCAAGTACCTCTTCCGCCTCGGAAGCGTCCTTGAGGGTAACCTCGGGGCCGAACTTCTTGGGACCAGACCGGGCCCCATTGTCGACAGACTGATGGGCGGATAGGCTCCTTTGTGCAACGGTGATAATGTTTTTGGCCCTCTTGATGAGGTTCTTGGTATGGCCAAGCACTTCGTTACGGACCTTGGCGTCATAATCTGCGTGGAAAGCTCCAAGATGTTTCTTCAAGAGCCCAAAAGCAACCTCAGAGAACGGCTTTGTCGTCGCTTGAGATGATACGAGCAGTGAGAAGGCGCTAGATCGAACAGACACAGACGGGTGTGCAAGCATTCCGTCCAACAAGGCTCCCTGGAGAACAACTTTCTTCGTCGTCGGTTGTGAAACGTCATCGCCGTTACCTGTAAGTTTCCATTAGAATAACGGCGGTCCAACCAGCCATTTGACTTACTTGGTTCCTCAACCATGCCATGCTTCTTCCCAATCTCGAGAGCGGCCAACTGGAGAAGGAGCCCTTGATCGGTCAGGTCACGATCGACGAGGCCGAGCGGCTGCCTCTTGTTGAATATCTCGAGCAATCTAAGAGATGCATCCCGTTCTGTTTTGAACATTTGGGCAAGCACGTGATTCTTGATGTCTTCTAAAATCTCTGGATTGCGGGTCAAGGCGTCCTGAAGCCACTCTCGCCAGACCTCAAGAGTGAAGCCAGCTGGCTCTGTTGCTGTTTTGTCTGGTAGTGTTGTGTTCAAGCCTCGAAATACGTGAACAAGGCATTTTCCAGCCAGAGGGCAGGCATAAGTAAGTTCCATCCACGAAAAGAGGTGAAATGCGAAGGACCTCCATAGTGAGAGAGTAGGCAAACCCACCACTGACGAATCAACCTGCTCGTACTTGACGGCAAGGTCTGTAAGCTTCACCACTCGCTTTGATAGGAAGTGGTCAAGACACTGTAATCCCGATTTGGTCAACTGCTGCGCAGACTTCCGGGCAACGATTGAGACGAGGGTCTCAACTATGTGGTCTTTCACAGCCCTTCCTGTTTCAGGGCAAGGGTTGGATGCTGATGATGCCACGAGAAGATCCAGCACCAGGCGCAGGGCTCGGTGAGGGTCATGTTCATACCATTCGAGGTAGAAGTGCAACAGCTTTTTCGACAGAGTCTCTGTGAAGGCCCATTGCCTCAATGCCTCGTCGCTCGACTTAGCACATTGCTGGACGAAGCTGCAAAGCTTGATACAGGTATGTCCATTGCCATGATATTGCCTCGACTGAGAGGCTTCTTGAAGCAATTTCTGAAAAACAGCTTCAGCCAATCTGCCACTTATTAGCCAAATGGACATTTATCTTGAACGGTTCGGGCTGGAGTCGTACCGAGGTTGGGTATCTGCTGCTTGACTCAACAGCCATTTTGTGATGGTATTTGCATTCTCGAAGACATCGGGATTGAGGTCAACTAGAGGATCTTCGGTTTTAATCGTAGTGTCTTCTTGAACCATCTCGATGCTTGGCGATTCCTCCTTCAAGAGAAGGAGGGGTATAAAGGGTGTTTGTTGGTTTGAGCAGGGGTTGAGGTTCCGAGTAACACGGAAAGTAAAAAAAACCAATAACGACAACGAGAAAGGATGGCGAAGAAATCAGCGGTTGGAAATCGATATTTTCACCCAAACCTTTCAATCGTCCTGCCTCTCGTACCTCTGCCTAATTTGCTGGGGCTACTTGCACCATATATGGCAGGCTAGAGGGGAGAAAATGTTGTGGGCATGTACGGGTATATACATACATACATGTATGTAGATACCGTAATCCTCACCTCGATTTCGCGACACACCCCATCAGACAGTTACAATGCCTTGCTTACCGTCGGCTGGAGTTGGTTAGCAGTAGGTAGCCATCCAAAAGCATCACCAGCTGCAATTGGCAAACGCGTAATATGTTTAGAGTGGTAAGAAGGATTGAAAGCTTTGCTATCATTTCTGGTCTCGTGTGACAATTGCACAACCAACGTTATCATTCTTTCAGTTTCAATGTTTTGTAAAGCAATACAAGAGAAATGCCAAGAATAGAAGTTGGCCAGCGCAGAAACTTCTCGTGGTGCCCGGGCACGGGCCAGCTAAATTTTTTGTCTTATCGGTCATTCATGGCATGGCACACACCCGGTCCGGTCCTCCCACCCGACCGACTTCACTGACGAACGACCTGCGAACAAGCCGGGACTGGCCCCATCATCTGGCACCTGCCCCCTTCAATTCAGCTCGGCCATCTTAATTTCCCCGTTTAATTTTACCCTTCAATTCCCGCCAAGATGTCGATCTGGGATGCCCTCACCGGACGCAAGTCCTCGTCGCAAACCTCGTCATCGAGCGCACCCGCTGCGCCGCCCGCCCCAGAGCACCACACCCCTACCAATACTTTCCAGCCGACGACCACCTTCGACCCTACTTCTGCCCAGGGCGTAGAAGCCTTCCTTGGCAGCTCCTCTTTTGCCGACCCCTCACAACTACATCCCCTCGCCGGGCTGAACAAGGATACACTGGATTACCTCTCCCTCGAAGACTCTGCGCTCTCAGACTTGCCCGGATCACAATCGGCTCTGCCGTCACGAGGCTTCACAGACGACCTTTGCTATGGTACAGGCACAACATACCTCGCCGGTCTCTCGCTAGGAGGCGCATGGGGCCTGCAGGAGGGTTTAAGGAAGTCGGCCGGCGAATCGCCGAAGCTCCGGCTGAACTCGGTGCTCAACTCGATCACACGGAGAGGGCCGTTCCTGGGGAATTCGGCGGGCGTGGTTGCTGTCTGCTACAACTGCATCAACTCATACATTGGGTATTTGAGGGGGAAGAACGATGCCGCGAACACCATTGTGGCTGGTGCCCTTAGCGGCATGCTGTTCAAGAGCACAAGGGGGCTTCGACCGATGGCCATCTCGGGTGGTATCGTGGCTTCGGTGGCCGGTGCCTGGGCGGTAAGCTCTCATGGTTTCATTTGTGTCACTTTGTGACGGGACTTTTGCTAACATCGGCCCAGATTGTGAGAAGGACAATCTTCCACGACTCCAAGAATTCCCATACCGAGACTCTTGCAACACTTTAAACAAGCAACTGGATCTTCAACGATCTTCGATGATCTTGTATACGACGCAATCTGTGGCTTGATTTTGCCGCCACATCCATCTTTTAATCTACAAACAACGGCCTTTTCACAAAGCTGTTTTGTGTGTAAATGTCCGTTTGAAGACTGACGTGTACGAAACTCGGCCAGGGGGCGAAGGGCGGGTATGCATAGCGCAGGGTATCTCTCCTCCCATGGAAATTGTATAATAGTGGCTTATCGTCGTAGAGCGCTCGGTTGAGCGCATAGCGTGCAGTGGACCTCGATCATTCGAAGGCAGCTTCCAGCATACATCAGCCACCGTCTAAGTTATGTTCACTATGGTCCTCGTGGAAACGCGGTCTTTCAGTTCGGGCTGTCGGCGTGGGACCAATCTAAACATGCAACACGAGCAACGTCTGGCGCTTTCCTTGGGCTGTTTGGTTGCTGGGTTGCCTCGTTGTCGTCAAGTGGTATTATCTACTTCGACACAAAGTATGGATGCTGTGTTATTGGCCTTCATCCCCCGAAGCAACTTTGTGATAGTCTTCACCTTAACCGTTGCCGTTCTTTTTTTCGCCCTTGTTCCGAGACAACATGGGCCCTACATCCGAACCGTCCATGAGGCGGCCACGGCCCTGTCAAAGCCTCAACATATGTTCATCTTCTGATACCCGCCGTGGCCTCCTCCCTCACTTCTATCCCCGCTTCTCACCTCTCGGCACCAGGCCTTGGTCACCAAAAGGCACCTTTGCAAGAAGCACGCATCTGAGGCTAGATCATTAGGGTTCTTTCCCTTGCACCTTCCACAATGAAGGTATTTCGTAACTATTGCTTCCCTACCAATGCTCTTCCCCAACTCCCTCATTCCCTACCCTCTCGATTATCTACTCACGACTCATCGACTTTCATCCTCTTCATTCAATTGTTTCTCTCCTTCCGACTTCGACCCTCTTCATTCTTATCACCAGATCACAGACACAATGGACAGTTCATCGCAAGTTGAGGGCGACCCCGTCGGACTAACGCCGGAGCAGCTTATACAAGAACTTGTTTCGCTGCGGGTCGACCGGTGGAGGAGCAAGCAAAAGGAGGTACCGGACGAGGAGCTCGTGGCACAGCTAGTCGCCTTATCCTGGGACTACGATTCCCTCCCACCGGAAGGGCCCGGATGCCTAATATCCGGCGGCAGTACCGGACATATTTACGTCCCGTATGACGATAGTAGAGAAGGTTTGCCTCCCGAGATCAATGATCGCATCGACAAGGTCAATCGTTGGATCGCGGACCCCGCCAATGCCCCGACGCTGCGCAAAATGGACAAGATTTTGAGGAGACAAGTCGACAAAAGCTGCTTTTTGGAGTTCCTAGACGGAGGCAATGCCTCGCGCATCGACTTCATCGGAAAGGTAACTCACTGTCCCTTCAAAGCGCCCTGAATACCAAACCGACCGATACTAATACGGCCCGTCAACAGATCAGGATGCTCGCCCGATACCGGCTGATGGAGGAGGCAACAGCAGTCGACGTGTCTTCCTACAACCCACATCGCCCCCAGTTCAGGATGATTATGGTTTGACATCACTGAATTTGGCCAGGTCAAGATGGAATGGCGATATCTGGATTGGCACTGCACCGAGGTTAAATTCGTCGAAGCGCTGGAGGTCTTTTCGAATCCAAAATTCTGTCACGAGGCGGTGCTAGGAAGGCTTCTGAGGCACCTTGACACCATCCATCACCCAGAAGACCTCGCGCAGAAAGCCCAGTCTCTTGTCGAGAAGTTCAAGTCTAAGGGGCCCCTCAAGAACGGGCCAGAGTGGAAGTACTTGCTCTGCGACGACAGCGACCTCGTCACACCTCTGGAGGGCCGGGAATGGAACCTCCTAAATTTGTCGCCAAACGTCATCAAGATGGTGAAACGTGAAAGCAGGGAGACAAGCAAATCAGCGGTTATCATCCGGGTAAGCAGACATCCTCGCACCCTCCACGAGGTTTCAAGACTGATCACGAAATCCCTCGTGTGACTAACTACTGCGCGTCAGTCTTCGCTACTAGAACACTATTTGCGTTGCCATGAAGTCCACAAGCTCCAGCAGGGTCAGATAAAGCACGACCAAGAGAACCACCCGTTCCTCGACGAATCGTACTTTAACGGAGGCTAGGTGTCTACCCTGGAGTATGCCTGGAATTATGGACCAACCATTTTCAACAACAACGAAACGTCTCCCCCGATCTAGTCGTGTCTCTTTACTTTATAGGCACGGGCCTCTCGTTTACTTGAGCCGTGCCTGGATCTAGATGCTCTCGTGGACTTTAATAGGCTGGATAATACCAAGTGCGCCTTGGTCTTGGGCGGGATGGAGGAGTCGGGGGTTTTGGGAAGTTTGGCTCCTACCGAGTTTTCAGCGGAGTCTTCAGCACTACGAACATTATGGCTTGGGTCCCGTCTGTACTCACGTAGGTAGCATAATTACCAGAATATTTTTCGGATTAGTGGATGGGGTGTTACTCCAACTTTGTGAGAACAAGGCTAGGTAGGCTCTCTTAAACAGTCTCGAATGACCTCAAAACACTAGGGACAGGTTTGTTTAACATAATTGGCAGCCCTCGACTGGGAATCGTGTGTCATGGAGATTCGCCAATGGAAAATAAATAACAACACAACTCAAAATTCATCTGAACGGCGATTTCACAATCCAGCACGCGTACATACCGAAATAGGGAGACCTTGTATCGCACTTCCCTCGGTCTCGGTAGTTTATCTCATTGCAGTGGGAAGGTCTCTTCGAGTTTCATCAATCTATCACCCTTGCGAGTTCAACCTCGAACAATTCAGCTTCACAACAGCACAAGCGCCATCACTCCTCGACGTACACAACAAGATGTGTCTCCCTTGCTTTTCATTTTCGAACGCCCAGTACGAGCGTGGTAATCGGCAGCCAACCCGCCAGTACCAATATGTTTGGAACGGACAGGCTTGGGTCCTCCATGATACTGTAAGTTCGTCGGGATGCTCTGAATACCCTTGCTTTTGTTGCGCACATTGGTACCGGCCTCGCATTTTGGAATTCTCTGCCTGGCTCTCAAGGCGCCCGGGCATCGTTCTTCCACCGAAACTGCTGCCGTTCCTTCCACTTTATTAGCACTGTTTCTCCCACAACACTGGCTTCCCAATTTTCTCCTCACTCGCCACCCAGTTTGCACTTTCTCCTCTCTTCCACATCACCCAACCCAACCCAGACTTCCATTGCCGAAACTATCGCCACACCTGCGTCGCCATGGTCGGCAAGAGAGACCCCAAAGGCAAAATCCCGATGAGGCGTGTGTCGATCGCCCCGGAGGGCGATTACAGTCCGCCTCCGTCGCCTGGCCCTAGCAATTTCGGTCGCAAATCTTCGCAGGGAAGCCCAGTGCCGTCTCACATTTCGTTCGCTTCGCAATCTCGATCCCGTCTGGATCCCAGCAGCAATCAACCGGCTGTATCGGTTCCGTCTACTTCAGCGACCTCTGCTCCGGCCACTGCGCCTGCTTCAGCACCAGCTGCAACCTCTGCAGCACAGATTCCCGCGAATCGCTTCAGCGCTGTTTATGACCAGACGTCTCAGCCCTATGGCAATTACTGGCGGCCTGTGATCCATTCTCAAGGAGTCTTTGGCGCACCATTCACCCAGTTTGGCGTAGCGGCGCAGCAGCCCCCGACACCTTCACCGGTCAACCCTCCGGACGAATTGGGCCCCCCTCCGCCACCACCGCCGCCTCCGGCCATTCCGCCGGTCATCAACCCCCACGGTGTTCACTTCCAGCCTCAGGTGCCCGGTACAGAGCTAGGCCCTATGATCCATCGCTATGTGCCTCGCCACGATCCTTATGGTGCGGCGGGTTCGATTTTCCCAGGTCTACAGTTGCCCACTTACATGGTCAGTGCCTTGATCGGGCTCTCCACAGTCTTGGTTCCATATGATGTAGCGGTCTTACCGACCTTCACCCGATCTCATGTCGCACACAATGTGTCTTGTATGAATCAGATAGAGAGAGCTTCTGCTAACCGTTCTTTAGGCCAACGGTGCCACGATGCCTATGCAGTCGCTGTCAATCGGTGTGGCTTCCGCCACGGCTCCCATGAATCCGATCGTGGTGCAACAGCCAGGCTTTGGCCCGATGATGATGCAGAACCACTCTATACAGGGCGGAGTGCCGCTCATGCTCCCGACCCCTACTCAGGGCTTCCCGATGACAGGTATTCCTTCTCTAACTGGCGTTCCGACCCAACCGCCTGTCCATGTCGAACCTGCAATGGGTGTTGGCTTGACGCCCAACGAGACGATTGCACAGAATATGCGGATTGCACAGAATAACCAAGCGTACGAGCCGCAGGATTTCAAACCCGCTGATCCGAACCCATACCGTATGTACTGGTTTCGCGAGTTGGACGGCCACTGGGCGCTGTTTCATCGCCGCCAAATCGATCGGCTCGATGTCCGCTGGTACCGCACCGACGACGGCGTCTTTTATGCCATTCGTCTTTCGGAATAAGGCACGTGCCATGGACCACGTATTTTCTCAGTGGGTTTCCCAATACTGCTCTAGCTCGGTCTGAATGCTGCTGACACGGAATTTAGTTGCGACAGCAGATTTCTTTCGTTATTCTCATCGAGTTTTTTCCGGGTGGCGACCCTTCGCCTCTTCCAGCCACTTGCATGGGTATACAGATTGGGTTCTCGCAGGAGGAAATGGCGTAACGGAAATATCTCGCCCTAGAGGGCGACGTTGTCGCGGTTTGCATCAAGGATTCGAGGATAATTTGGCCTGGGGTTGGTGGTTTGCCTCGATTTCGAGTCTTGGTCTCTGATACTTTGACACATGTGATTTTAAAAGTGATGTGATGGAAATTGACCACTGCCTAAAAATGTGTGGATCTGCAGTCTGTATTGTCCATGTTGGAGTCTGTGTCAGTAATAGGTAGTCGACAGCAGTGGAAGTCAAGGACCGAAAGGGGATTGTGAGGCTGAAAGACCCCTTCACATGCAAGCGTAACCCCTGCTGTGCAGCCGGCTTGGCACCCGTCTGCTTTCTGGATCTCGGTGGAGCTGCGTTAGCGCAGATCTCTGTGGCCATTGGCCCCTGATGACGAGCATGCCAAGAGCAGCAGCCTCCCGAATCTGGAATTGAAGCGCCGGGGGCTCGGCAAGTTCGAGTCGGATCGACCCTCATCTCCCCACCTTTCCCGGGCATTCCCCGAATAGTTAACCGACACCTTACCTCAACTCACCGACCTCACCTCATCCAAACTCACTCAACGCTTGATAACTCAACTGTTGATAATTCACCAAAACAGGACTGACTTGGGACGAACCATCCCATCAAAACCTATCCCCATTCCAACCACGCCTTAACCCCCCCCTCCACTCTCACCCTTGCCGAAAAACCATCCACCCAAAAACAAAAGTGAAGTTAAAGCCAAGCAACCCCAGAAACAATGCTCCTCATCGGCCTAACCGGCTCCATCGCCACCGGCAAATCCACCGTCTCCTCACTCCTCTCCCAACCCCCCTACTCCCTCCCCATCATCGACGCTGACCTACTCGCGCGAGAGGTCGTCGAGCCCGGCACGCCCGGCTACAAGGCCATCGTAGCCCACTTCGGGCCCTCCACCCCCGACCTCCTCGTCCCCGCCAACCCCGACGACGGGATGCCCGAACACGGCCCCTCCGGCTTCGGCCGCCCGCTCAACCGCCCGGCCCTCGGCCGCCGCGTCTTCGGCGACGACCCCGCGCGCCGCGCTGACCGCGCCGTGCTCAATGGGATTGTGCATCCGGCGGTGCGTCGGGCTATGGCGCGCGCTGTGTTGCGGTGTTATGTGAGGGGTTGTCGGGCGGTGGTGCTGGATGTGCCGTTGTTGTTTGAGAGCCGGCTGGATCGGTTTTGTGGTGCGGTGATGGTGGTGGCGGTGAGGGATCCCGAGGTGCAGATGGAGAGGCTGCGGAGGAGGGATCCGCATCTGAGTAGGGAGGATGCGGAGAATCGGGTGCGGAGTCAGGGCGATGTGAGGGAGAAGGCGAGGAGGTGTGAGGGGAGGGGGGAGGGGAGTGGGGTGGTGGTTTGGAATGATGGGGGGAGGGAGGAGTTGGCGGCCGAGGTGAAGAGGGTGATGGCGGAGGTGGAGAGGTATAGTCCGAGGTGGTGGAATCGGTTGTTGTGGGTGTGTCCGCCGGTGGCGGCGTTGTTGGCGGCTTGGGGGTTTTGGAGGAATACGAGGATTAATAGGGCGTGGGAGGAGCAAGAGTTGCGGGAAAGGTCGAAGTTGTGAGGGGGGTTATTATTGTGAAAGCAGGTCAGGGTTGGGTGGTCGGTCGAATACATCGATGCGACGATGTGCTTGTTCTATCTGTGAGGTTGTTCAGTGGGTGGCTCGTGTTTAACCAGTTGCGCCTACCACTTTTGGCGACGACGACTAAGCCGTCACATTTTCACCCACAACATTAATTCACATTCCCGTTCTGGGAAATCACCATTTTGTTTTTTTTCTCGTCTTTTTCTCGTCTTTTTCTTTATGCCCATGAACTGAGACCAACCAATACTAGCACAACTCGCATCAACTTGATGAAGGTATTGAATTGGTCTCTAGGTCAAATCTAGTCCACCGACATTCAAGGGTACCGGATTTGTATGGTACAACGATCAACAATCCGGTCGCTCTCAACTGATTTCCTTTTGATTTTGGTTTGTTTCTCTATTGGAGTGCTTGGGCTCTACCCTACCGCTGTTTTGTTTTCTGGAAGCGAATTGACATCCTCATTAGGCTTGTCCGTCACCTAATACCACCACAATGCCTCCGCATTCTGTATTTGAGTGGATTGTCGGCCAAAATCTCCCGAGGGAGAGGAGGCAGCCGCGTAAACAGCAATTCGTCCGGGTTGAAATGTCCACCGACGACGAGGCCGACACCGATTCCGTCACCATCACCTACCCGCGTAACAGCGCTACTCGACGGCACAAGAAACACAGGAGGTCCAAGGCGCCCAGCCCTCCTAGTCCACCCGAGGAAAAAAGAGTTACATTTAGAGACAAGCCGCTCAAGTCTGCCTTGAAGAAGCCGCGCCAGCCGTCATCCTCGGAGCCGTCCTCGAATGACTCTTTGGATGTATCGTCGGAAGAGTTTAGTGATTCCAGCGACGATGAGAGCAGCGAGGAAGAGCCGAAGCCGAAGCCGAAGCCCAAGAGAAAAAAGAAGAAGGCGAAGAAGCCAGAGCCATCTGACAACGAGGCAAGCAGCGGCGATGAGAGTTCCGGGCCTGAAAAGCACAACGCACAAAACTGCTCTTGCACGTGTTGTTTAGCCGGGCTGATGCTGTTGACCAAGATGGAGGAGATCAGCAAGAACAGCAAGAGCAGTGAGGCCGCACCAGCTGAAGAAAACAAGCCGAACCCAGAGAAGAACGGAAAGGGGAAGCATGGCGAAGAAAAGGGTGGTGGCAATGGAAAGGAAAACGACAAGGGGGGGGACAAGGGGGGGGACAAGGGCGGGGACAAGGGCGGGGACAAGGGCGGCGGGAAAGGAGCTCAGAGCAAGAAGGGGAAGAAAGAGAAAGAAGAGTCGGAGACAGAGGCTGAAGCTGACACATCCGCCACGGCCGCTACCTCGGCTCCTGAGACAGCAACCGAATCGGAGCCAGAGGCGCAGAAATCGAAGAAAAACAAGAATAAAAAGGAGAACGAGGAAAAGCAACCGGCCCAAGAACAGTGATAAGCCCAAAGAGAACAAGTAAAGCAGAAGCCGAAAAGAGCGGAGAGAAAAAGAATGAGGGCCAGGCCCAAAGACGGCAAGACAGAGAACACAACTTCCAAACAAGGGGATACCGTTGACGACAAGAAACCCGAACCCCAACCTCACCCGAATCTTATTTTACCCGCCCGCGATCGCAACCTTCAGGTACAACACGTGGTCGAAGACCCTGCCCGAGACACGCCCCCCAATGCCTATTTCGACAACGACAAGAATGTCTGTCGAGTCTACCATGGGCCTTATTGGGGATACCCCTACGGCCAACCCTATCCTCCGGGAGGACCAGTTCCGCAGTACCCGGCTCCGGGTTGGCCGCCGGTCCCCGATACGCAGGCCATGCACGGCCGCCGTCCCAGTGCAGCGCCAGTCCCTCCCGGGTATCCGCCAGTACCTCAACCACCGACCCCCATGCCGTACCCAGCCTGGGGCCAGCCGTATGGCCCGTACCCGCCAATTCCCCCTCCGTACGGCAGCGCAGTCCAACGCCCAGTGGGACTATCAGGCATCCCGGGCAGCCCCACCGGTGTGGACGCCCTTCGTCGGCAAGGCTTCGCCCTCGACCCGCTGTATGCTGATTACTTCAAGTCTGATAAAAAGGATAGTAACGATAGGCCTTATTTCAGAATGGGTGACGGGGACAAGAAGTCTTCCGAGGAACAGAAATCGGCCAAGGGTAGCGGAGTACAGTGGAACACCCCAAAGTCGAATTGGGAAAAGCTCCCGAGCAACAAGAGTAGGAAGGGTTCGAATTCGGGCAATAAGAGTAACCATGGTGGTAGCAACGGCGGAAACAACAGCAAAAACAGTAATAATCGGGGCCGAAACAACAACAGCAATTCCAACAGGCACGGCAACTCCAACGAGAATAACGACAACAGCAACGAAAACACCAGTGGTTGGGGAAACAACAACAATACCAGCGGCTGGGATAACAACAACAACGACAACTCCAATGACAACAACAATACCAGCGGTTGGGGCAATAACAACGATGACAACAACGACAACAACAATAACAGCAACAATAACGACCAATCCACCGGCTGGGCATTCGCCAACAACGATGACAACAACAATAACGACCAATCCACCGGCTGGGCATTCGCCAACAACGATGACAACAACAATAACGACCAATCCACCGGCTGGGAATTCGCCACAACGATGACACACATAACAGCAACAATAACGACCAATCCACCGGCTGGGCATTCGCACACGATGACACACATAACGACATCACGCTGGGCATCACGACACGACACTACAATCTCCGCTGGACGCCTTCGGCAACCCACCAGCAAC